ACGTTCTTAGTGAACACCTACGTTCTAAAAGGAACCCCCATGTAAAATTTGGGACTCCTAGCACTGGTAGTTTCTGAGATTTCGTGATGAGTGCGTGAGTCAGTCAGTCAATCGCTGTTATAGATATAGTTTTATGCCCTTGTTGGTAGTTAGGTATTTTATTTTTATTTATTACAATTTATAAAACCGCACCTCAAAGCACGTGAATACGCTGCCAATATCACTGCTTATCAGCCATTTTTGTGGAATTAAAATTATCTGAACAAATCCTACGATAATTGTGATTTTATCAACAAGGATTTGTGTTGAACATGTGTAATCTGGAATTGATTTTAAAGGTGTTGTAAACTGTGGGATTGCTACTGATAGTGATGGCTCATGGACTTTGCAAAAAACGGATGTAATCATGACGATATATTTCTGGGCTGGCTCGTTATAATTTACCAAGATGAAAGTCCAATTTCGTGTTTTATCATGCTACCTACTCCTATTTATGTGAGGTTAAAATGCACAAAACGTTAATTAATTGAAAATATTTATTTCTCACCACACACCACACCTACATTTTAGCTAGGTACTCGTACCTATTATTAAAAACTTCTTGTAACTAAATAATCTGATTAAGGTGGACTACCTGTATTATTTACTAGCTGCGCTCTACACTCTCTTAAAAGGAGTTTGCTACTGTTTTACATACGAGTACTATGTGTCATTTATTTACGGTAAACTACGGAACCTTGAAGACATTCAATTTCCGCCTTAAAATTGTTTTTTATCAATCGAATGATTTGAAACTAACAAAAAGATTAAGATTGTAGGGCTGAAGGGCTTACAATTACTTGTTAAGTACACTACTTAGTAATATTTATAATCCTGGTAAACACAGGATAACATTAGGATTAAATTGCTATGATTTGATTAAAAACATGTGAGCATTAACGGATTTGCCTAGAAAATTATAGATTTGTACCTTAGATAAAGTAAGCCTAATTATCTATGGCAATTACAACAATAAGAGGATAATAAATGTTTTATTATTTTTAACTAGTCACTCTTAAAATACATTATATTCCAACTTCAGCATGCCTAAGTTGTTTTTGACACATTTCCACGAATAAAGCGTTAAACCATATTTTTTTATTGACATAAGTTGCCTTTAGACGCAAAAAACTGAAAGGGTGAAAATAATGACCATCGCTACACTAGCATTTCTAAACTACAGTTGGTAGCACATAAGCATACACTTATGGTGCATTTGTCCCTATTACATTTCCATGAGATTAAATTTTGGCCTTAAACCTTTGTTCGGCAGTGGACGCAATTTGGCTGAAACGAACGAAATTATCACATGTGCTGCGATTCGATTTTATTTATTTATTTTATTTAACGCACAGCTACAGAGAACAAACAATAGCAATACAATTATCACAATAATTTCCCGTAATTACTCTTAAGAATTTTTAAACTTTTAAATACGATATGACATTCACCTCGCGTAGACAAAATAAATCATTAGCAAAACGTAGAAAGCGTATTATGTCAACAAGATGCGCCGGAGTCGATGCTCGGGTGACATTACTGTCAGATACGTTCGGTTGACTCCAGATAATAGGGTCTTGGGCCGTCTGATCTGTCCAAATACCGATTGGAAGGTAATTAATAAGTTTTTGACCTGCTTTCGCCAATTATGTAAACATGTTTGTAAAATAATTGCAACATAATTATCTTTTCTTTTTATTAATTTTATCAGTGGGGCAGTTGCACTTGCACTTGACTATCGAATTTCGTATTAGTAATAAAATAAACAAGAAAGACTTTACCCTCTAACAGTGGTCAACACAACACACTGGAGTAGTGTGATTGACAGGCATTTTCCCAGCAGGATGAGGAGTCAAATTAAATAAAATAACCGCGAAACGTTCGATAATAATGATACTAATGATGGGTCAGATGCTATTTTATTACATACACACACATACGTTTGCGTGCGACACAGTATTTTAACACAAAATTGCAATAAGTTTCTACTTGTGATCTCCTGGCTAACATTTTAAATAGAATTAAATGATGAAGAATTTGTCATTTTTTTGTTGGTTTTCATAATGTATATTTTATCGTACATTCTCAAAGCTAGCAAATGTAACGCGTGTTGTTTACAAACCGGCGGTGACACTCGCCTCAATGAAAGATCTATTATTACCGATACATGCGCGTGCGCCAAATATCGGACGCGACGCTGTTCATGTACTCGACGTTTGTCTATTAAACTGATACACAATAATCAATACCGGATCGATTGAGATATTTTTAATGATTTGTTGTTTGTGTTTTTAAATTCAACCAATATTTGGTAAATTATTCCGACTAAATAATGACAACTGTTGCTTAACCCCGTATTTATCAAAGCTAGTATTTTTTTAAACAACAAAATTATAGTTAATTTGGATGAGTGTTGAGTTAATATTAATATAGGTATGACCCATATAAATACTTATATGTAGGTACGTGAGTACATTTAAATCTAGTCAAAGTCATAGTTAAAGTTTATCTAAGCTTCTTCTTAAAGAATTTTATGATTTATTGAGTTTCCAAACAAACATACAAACTAAAAAAATATTGTGTTTTGCAAACATTAAAAAAGGTTCTCTATAAAATATGTCCATCATTTTCATTTCCTTACTACGCAAATTCGGAGTCGTAGCGGCTACGAGCTACGCGCTACGTCGTAGACGCCTGACGTCACTCGCGTAGCCACCGCCCTTGTAGGCCACTGCACTTGAACCACTAAATGTATAAATAAACTATTTATTATACATTTTTGTAGATCATTAACGATTTTTGTGCAAACCTTGTTCAATATTCAACCATCTTCCAAAAGCAAAAAGATTCTTTATTCAGCTGTATTTGTTGCTACAAATAGGCGCTAATATTAAATAGGATTTAATAAATAAAAGATAATAAATAATTCAAACCGTATTTTATTCACGCAACTTGATACATCCTACCTAAGTAACGTTCGTTACAAAAAATGCGTTTTCAATCCTTTCAAAACCTTATCTACAAAAATCTTATCTAATAATGCTCAGCTACAACTTAATCACATTATTTGTTCTAAAACGCGTCCTTGTTTTAATTCATCAAGAATTTCATCGATAATCGGATTAACCATCGGTCCCTTCCGAAATGACATCATCGAGTTTGAAAAACAGCCTCTACATGACGCTTCGAGAATTTCTAGAATTATCCAGCGAAACAAGTGCATTCGAGTTTGTGGTAGAAAAATGTTTTCATAATAAGTCCGAGCGTTAATGGACAGTGTTAGCGTAGCGGGCGATTCTTTAGAAAGAAGGGAAGTAATCAAAAAGTGCGAGCGAATACACGAAACTTTATCAGTCATGATGAAACAGCAAAAAATTATACCTGAGATCTTTTGTAACGAATTTTGTAAGATTTTCAGACAGATTGAGCAACTCAAACTATCAGAGCCCACCTGTTTAAGCTAATAATTGATTTATTTAAAAACGGGAAGGGATAGGTAGAGCATTAATGTTAGTTTTACTCAGACAAGAATTTAGATTTTAGGTATACCAAGCCCTGATGGCTTGGTGGCCTTATCGCTCAGTGAAATCTATGCCAGACAGCGTCTGCTGTATTTTAGTTTCAGAGTCAAGGCAGATGACTGAAATAAGAACATCAGAATAATTATTATCATCAAACGTTTGAAGTTTGCCAATTTCACTCCTAAGCGATGTTGAGAGCGGTCAAAAGCACTATTAATAAAAAGTGACGTGATCCATTTTATGAGGCTGGGTTTTGTGACAGGATTGTTTTAGAATAAAGTACTTTGCTTATGATTTATGATTACGCGAAATGCGACCTATTTTATACAGTTTATTTTGACATAGAAACATAAAATGTTATTAAAAAGACGTGTTCACCATTCAATACCAAATTACTTAGGTGATTTTAGGATAGTATAGTTATAATTATTGAGTGATTTGTTTAATCCTGGCTTGAGATAAAGATTACTGAAACTGGATTAGAAAAACTACCGGCTTTTGGGTTTTGACCAACAATGGAACAACTTAGCCAAGATGAAATGAAGATTGTAAACTTTACGATATTGGACATGAACATAAAGAATATTATCAATTACTTCTCTTTTACGATTCCTGCGTCGAAGAGACAGCTGTTGATAAAATAATGTACTTTAGTCACGAGCAATATAACTTCCCGAAGCTCCAGTTTTTAATCGAAGTATCTATTTATTCTCCCTTATCTGTCACATGACTGGTTGTAAGCACATTAGTGTAGCAAAAGTTTATGTACTTTTTTATTAACACATAGCTATTACAGGTCCCAAGGGAACATTCTTTGTCTTATGTCTATAGGATTTCAAATATTAAACTTTTGTGTGCTTAAACTTGCGGTATTTATCGATGACTTCCAAATTAAACCCTTGAAATGTACATTCCGAGTATTTACAACGCTCACTGGACATTTCTCTAGCCGGCGACCGCATATAATGTCAAATACAGTGGAGTTTATTGCCGTGTTTGTGTTATTTACTGGTGCAAATAAGTGGTATATAAATAGCATTGCAACTTTGCAAAATCGCTTTATTGGCACGGATAATGGACAAAATGGCGATTTTGTTTCGGCGATCTTCAGATTTAAATTTTTTCGCAAAGTGCACAACAGGTTTTTTAAATTATGTACACAGAAATGTTCACGTCTCTTGAAATAAAGCAGCCGATTTATTTCAAGTGAAAATCATGTTCAATGTGCATTAAGAGTTATGTACAAAAATCACAATTTAATTACTTAATTAATTTATATGCTCTTTTCATTTGCATCATTCGAAAATTCTTATTATTTATTTTAAGAATGATAATGGGTCAGAATGAAAATTCATTAGAGTCACGAATATTTCTTAAAAAACTTTGTCATGTAATTAAAGTAATTAGCAAAGTGAATTAAATAAAACAAAATATATTTACCTCCGTGCTCTTCCATTTTGCAACACATGTACACTCACAAAGTAAACACTACTTAAATCTAATTAACGTAACTAACTTATTAACTAGTATCACACGAAAATCAGTAATGTCTTTGCTTAAGATCACCGTTTGAAATAGTTTGTTGGCTTTTTATCCCATTTGTTCGGTCACTTTAATTTGACTCGCGCGCGGTATGTATGCATTGGTGTTGCGAGGGAACGCGGGACTGACTGGGCGGGCGCGCGGTCGGCCGTACTAGATAGCACTGAGTAGTGATGGTGTTCGGTGAACGCGTGTTGCGGATTCGACGTCTCGCAGGGACTGCGCGGTGAGACTAGGGGGCGTCCATAAATTACGTGAGACAATTTTGGCTATTTTTCAACCCCCCCGCCCCCCTTGGTGAGATTTGGTGAGATTTTGCCTGACCCCCTCCCCCACCCCCAAATCTCACGTGATATTAAAAAAAATCCGAAATTTAATAGTTTTGGAGTAATATAACTGAGAAACATTTTTTTTATGTGCTTTAATGTTGTTGCTAACGAGTGCATCAAAAAGATCTATAAAGTTTAAGATTTTAGTTCTTGAAAGTATCTGCTAGGGACGCTGTACAATCATCATACATTTAATGTATGTCATTTTTTACGCCGATTGTGTAAAGTCGCACTAAGCCCACTGATTACGAATAGATCCAGAAAAACACGTGTAGTGACAGCGGTTAGTACTAGGGTCACATTGTTTTTTTACAGAAGTACCTAGTCTAATTGTTCCTTTCTACAAAATCACTAATAATATAATCTAGNGCCCCCCTAGAGACCGGGGTATCTACGCCATCTTTTAATGATGATTGTGATCGAAGTAGATTGGGTTTGTCTAGGTAATCTATACAGGATGTTTGTTTTAATGTGGAGTTGGTATAAATTACTGATCTTAGTTTTCGATTTATAAGTTTGTTTTAAGAATTTATGACTAAATTACTTTAAAAAACTTTACTGTAGAAAGCTATTAGTATAACAAGATTTGGAACACCATATTTTAGATTAGTCCTAAATAGCTTAGTCCTTTGTTATTATTTCATTATTTATAAGGGAATATAGTCCTCTTAATACGTTTGATATTTATCTTTTTATTTACAACCAAAGGCGAATTTTATTAAATAATATGATATTTTCTCCTAAGCAATATTTGAGCAAAGCAATTGGTAGTATTTTATATAGGATAGAAAACGTTTTAAGTTATCTAATCTAAAGCCTTTATATCAAAATAACCTTTACCTACTTATTCATAAATAAACAATGACCAAAATAATTCCATCTATTCCATATAAAAATATACAAATATGTAATAATGTTCTTTGACTTCTCAATTAACACTCGCAAGCGGACGGCGGCGGCGGATATTTCTCGAAAACAGCTGGTTTATAAGCAAATAAGATCTTCTAACACATCTAAATATATTTAGGAAAGATTTTAGATTATACCCACTTGCCATGCAGTTTGGGAGAATGAATTCTACCATCTTTATCTTTCCAACTTTAAAAATTCAAAGAAATGCTGTGAGACAATTCACAAGAGTAAATGCCTATACAGTACAGTACATTACATTACATGGACTCTATTACAATTACCTAGTTAGTCACAATTAAGAATTTGTAGGTATATCATGTTAATTTTATTTCCTGTAATAAAAAAGAGGTGCCTGAGGTCTTTCAACGCCGTCTGGGTGACGCTAAGACGAGTGATGGCTTCCTAGCTAGGCTATCCGAATTCCTGAAAAACGACTAAACCTAGGCGCAGACCATCGATTTTTCGTCGGCCGATAGTTTAGTCGGGCAGTTGATCAGTATGGGCATGTATGGAAGTGCGCACATTACACCGATTTCATTTGGCCGATTCTTCATACAAATTAAAATCGGGCCCAACTATCGGCCAACTAAAAATCGGTGGTCTCCGCATAGTCTTAGACGAAGAATAATTTTAAATAAATGGAGAAGTTGCTGAAATACCTACTTCTGATTGTTAACGTTAAAAATATTTTTCGACGCCCAAGATTTTTTAAAGAGGAAGTCAACTTTATGCTCACTCCATATTGACTCGTTCATATTCACGAAATAGGACATCATATTAAAAAAGATATACCACATCCCCATCGGCGCCCGCCGTACTAAAGATATACCTACAAAGGTGGGCCGATGACAGCCCCCCACCCAATATCGACAGCGGGCCAAGGTCGCTCATTAGTCACTGGGGCGCTACTCTGTAAAACAACCCCATAAATTTATACATCCCTCTCTTTCATACGTAACTGTATATTAGGTAGAGTGACAAGGAAGGTTATAACGAGCTACGTACATGTAGACATCTTCTGGCCAAGTAAGAACCTTGTGTTTACACACTTGGAACTAACTGAGGTAAGGTGCCACGAGTTGCTTCGACGAATAATAGAAAGTTATGTTTATTTACCTACTCATCGCCATAAGCAATTCCCAATTTACTTTTTACCCAAGTTTTAGTGTAATACTGGAATTAGGGTGACTGGTGCCCGTTTTCACCATCAATCCCTGATTTTTAAGTGACCCCTATGTCAACAAAATTCCTGTTATTTGCCACCATAGGGGTCACTTAAAAATTGGGAATTGATGGTGAAAACGGGCATGAGTTTCTTCCGCCACTTCTTCTCTGCACTTGCCCATATTGTCCCGAAGTAGTGGTAGGGCAAGCTATATTTAGAACGTGTATTTAAGCTCCCTGTAAAGGGCCTAGGTACTGAATAAACGATTTGATTTGATTTGATTACCTAACAGCGATGAAGTGGTTCATAGCATGCAAAACAAACTTGGATGTTTTCTGGAAATGGAGTTCCATAATATTGAAAAATTCAAAACCTGACCAAAAATTGAAGCTGGGACATTCCGCTCAAAGTTCTATTTCACACCAAAGCTATGTTATAACGTTAAGCTTTAGAAAACAAGCAATTTTTCAGGCCATCCATGTATTCCGTGTGACATCACGCCGCCCGCGGCGTCCATTAAGCTGCGAATTGAAACTGGGAGCTTTTATTGCGCCATGCCGCGAGCTAAAAATAACACGAATTCAGAAAACATTACATTTGCTATTTATTAAGTAAGTTACGATACTTACGATACTGCTGTTCGATATATCGCACAATCATGGTGACATAAGGTTTTATTTCTACGAGTAATAATTTTATATTCTACTTTCACGTAAAGAAAACTTTCGTGTCGTCTTATAACTCTATTTGTATAGGAACTATGTCATCATACATTAAAACAAATTCGAATTCCTTATAAGGCCCTTTTCAGAGCAAATATCGCTTCCCAATATACTCGTAGTTTACCCTACCACCAATTTGAGACAATGTTAGGTTGCCTTTTGTTTATTACAGAAAATACAATTTCCAAGAAAAAGTGGGCGCGAGCTAGGCTAGAGAAATACATTAACTACTTCTACTCATATACTTTACAGTATACTCTTTTTAGCCATGATTAGTCGCAAATAAGGTTACTATGCAATAGAATATTCCTCTTCGTGTTAAATCATGTTTTTCCCATGTATAAGTATGCCGTTCAAGTTCACGCGGTGGGCGCGTGTCGTGCCCACAATCAGCCCTTGTCGGACTTCTCGCTATCAGTCTATAAAAGCATCGCAGGGCTGTCCCAAATGATACACATTTTAAAAAGGATTTTTGTCTTTGCCGTCGAGATAACTACTTTTGTACCTCATCTATAATAATCTCATCAACGGGTGAAGCTCGCTTCCACCTTCAGCCTGATCGTCACTTACCATCAGGTGAGATACAGGCCAAGAGCTTCCTCCTTGTGGATATAAAAAAAATCTAACACGTTATGCGAAGTCGAACGCACAGCGTTGAATAGAGCCCCGCCACTCAAGTATTGTCAATAAATTGGTTTTTGAGACCTTGTGCGTCCACACGCACTGTGAGACCTCTATAATATACTAGTAATGTTTGTGAATACGGGTGTAAGAATCGAAATAGAAATATTTATTTGTCTTTGAATAGGGTGTACAGAAGGTCGAAAATAACAAAATATGATCACCTATCCAGCCATCAACAATAACATGCAAATATATCGAAGAAATATTGATATTACATATAGATAATTATTACGGTAGTTATTACTTTTTGCAGATTATTCCCTATAGCTTAAAAATTCTTGGAGAGAGTAGAATAATCGCGCGACAAGCCACTTTTGCAATGTGGTCTTAAACTGATTAAAGGACAGTTCTTTAATATCTTTAGGAAGCTTATTATAGATTTGGACGTACACATGCAGAAACAGTTTTTTTGAATACGAGTATCTACTTTTTGGGATGAACCCAGAGATTCCTGACTAGCCGGAATAGATAAGGTGAAAAGGTGAAAGATAACAAATTAAACTGCATTCTTCATACAACTATTTTAATGATAAGCTTTATGCAACAACAATAGCATTCATATAGCTTGCTAAGGCGAGAGTGAATAGGCATTTATTGGCCAGATAAGTGCTTGTTAACTTAACAAAAAAATTTAAGTCGGTTCCTACGACGATATTGGAGCGGTATTTATTCACACATTTCGTCGATTTGTCTCGTCAGCGATCCAAAAACTAATATACCTACCTAACGTACTGAAAACTTTCGTCTTCGACTCGTTTGCGCATTCGATACCCAGTCTTCGAATTCAGCGCTAACGTGACGATCTTGATTGTTAAAATTAGTTTCATGCTACCATTTCTCCATAACTAAGTTCACTTTACGTCACGTTCACAGGGGCGCGGAGCTCTGTTTAAGTTTTCATACAATTTTTTTTAATGGCAATTCGAATACGCAAACGATTCGAAGTCGAAAGTTTTTCGTGATAGAGGTACAGTTCAAATCGTATCAACAATAAGTCCTGATCCAAACAGCCGATCAATGTCCATTTGGTTGACGCGTAGTCATAATTATGTCATCTGCGATGTGTTATGTCTGGCCACGTGTTTACGTCTGGAGACCACACTAGGGAACCCTGGTCGAGACTGTGCGCATGCGCCGCAGTATTAGTGGACGTGACTCATTGCCTAATTTAATTGCGAAAACTTTGAATATCATAATAACAAACATGTTATTTTCTTGTTTGTCACATGTTTGGGATATACATAGGTATTTATCAGGATTATAAATGCAAAATTCATAAAATATAGGATGCACAATCAGTTTGCTTTGGATAGTTAGAACTCGGTTTCGATGAATCAGCCATAATCTTATTTTATCGTTTAGAGTTAATAGGGATTGAATTGGGAATTAACTTTCCAAAGTTCAAAACTACTTAGAAATTACAAATGATGTTATGTTCGTTATTTTCTTTTTTTTTAAAGATTATTATCAATTTGTATTGCACAAATTACTAATAGTGCCGTTAGCCCCTCGTGTTAAGCTAAATAAGCTTGTGTTACGAGTGGGCTCACCACAATAGTCGAGCGGCGGTGGGATTCGAACCCGCGTTCCTCGGATCTCGAGTCGGCCACTCCGACCCCTTCACCGTTCGGCTATCGTGCTATCAAGAAGCAGTATTGTTTGAATCGACAGCAACTTTTGTATGGAACAACTGACTTTTTTCTCGTTTTCACTATTCTCCCATTTTAAAAACACATGATGTCGTGCCCTGAGTGCTCAACAACTGCACGCAAGAGGATTTAATGAATGCTGCTGACAACGCCACTTTTGTGGCGGAGTTTTGGGCTGACACTGTGTAGGTTTGTTGTCGACACGATAAGATCCGGGCGTTTTCAAGGCGAGAGTGAATAGGCACTTACAGGGCAGATATGTACCATCCTAGACTGCATCTCACTTAACACCAGGTGAGATTGCGGTCAAATACCTGCCTTGTCTAGCATAAAAAAAAGAAAAGAAAAAGAAGTACCTACCTAGTTAATAATCACTTTGGTATCTAATTTAAAAATATACTATGTCGGTAGAGTTTTTTGTGCGCAGAATTAAATCGCCATACATACAAAATCGCAGTTATTGGAATAGCGCGGATTGCATTTGGCAGCCCTGCGAGTGGACTTTGCACTCCGGTCCAAAGGGCCCGACGTCACAGTCCGAAGTCCAAGGTTCGAACCCTGTCATGGCAATCGTTGTGTGAACCTTAAGGTTTCAGTGATGACCAGCTAGTTGGACTGAAAGTCTATTTATAGCCGCCGAGTGAATCGAAAACAAATTACAGAGTAAGGGAAAGGAATATAGCCCATACTAGTGTAAGGGAAAAGTGCACAAAAATGTAACTCATAGATAATGTGACCCACGTCCACCAAGGTGGACCGACGACATCATAAAGGTAGCAGGAAGGCGCTGGACGCAGGCCGCTACCTAACGGGCAGCATGGAAAGCATTGGGGGAGGCCTATGTTCAGCAGTGGACGTCCTATGGCTGAGATGATGATGATGAGATAATGTGACACTCATCATCATAACCCACTCACGTAGACAGAGTGATATGGTCCAACATTTTTAAAATTTTGAAAAATATTTTAAAAAATACCTGTAGTAAAATATTTTTAATAGATAAATAAAATAATCTTTTCACCTCCATCAGACTAAGAATAGTTCGGTGGCATCAAAAATATAATCATGTACTGAACTATTCCCACCTCTCGTTCCCACCGCTGCAACTCCTGTGTAGCCAGGATCTGGGTCATTCCACCGGCCAAGAAAATCACGTGTCCGGGGCCAAAAAGTACCCGAAAATCATAATATTTTAGTAACAAATATTTTTATCTAATAGTATAACTTTGGTTCTTGTTGTTAAACCACAGAGATAGTTAATAATAGTTAATTAAGTAATTAAAAAAAAATCGTAATTCGTCAAAAATTGATTACCACGACGTGTCCGCGCTACCGATTTCAGAACAAATTTGCTCGTATAAATTAATCCGATATTATTACCGCTTTCAATGCTTATGTAATCGATTACTGATTAAATAAACATTGATAAATTAAATACGATATAACTATATCACTAAAAGGTTTTGTAAAATAACTATTTGAAGTTGTGTCCGGGCGTTAACCGTTGGTCGCGCCAAAAAAACATAGCGGCGCACTGTTAAGACTTGGAGCGAGATCAAACACGAAGCTCAAGACCGAATGCGATGGAGGACTGTTGTGGACGCCTTCTGTCCCATATAGGAGACATAGGACATTGAGTCACTAATATTATATGTATAATGTATATGTATGTTTTTTACTCTTTTACGCAACAACTACTTAACAGATTTTGTTGAAACTTTACAATATTGTCGTTTATACATCAAAATAACAAATGGCTAGTTATAACAACATTTATTTTACCATAACTTAAAAAAAACCTTAGAAAATAAAATATTTTGTTTTATTTTTGATTACTCTGACTCCCAACTTTGATTACCCCGACCATGAAAATTTTGATGTCGCATAACTTTTTATTCCTGCTTGCTACAGATGGGCCAATATAAAAAATATGCTCGTAATAATGTCTATTTTGAAATGTTTTACCTAAACTTACTCTAAATTCAAAAATAAAAAAGGTCGGGGTAATCAACAAAATAATCCAGATCCGGAGAATGACCGATCTACAGCTTGACCGCCAAAAAAAACCCAACCAGTGAAGGTCAAGTTTGTCCCATACCTGAGAATGCTCGTACTCATCTTGCTAACAATTGCCCCCAGTGGGAATCGAACCCGCAACCACAGTTTTAGTAGTATAAACCACCAATCCAGGCGGATTATTTGGATTACGGGTTAGAAAACAGTACAGTCATAACAAAGTCATGTAATTGATAAACTTGTTACTTCATATGTACTTACTTAATTATAATATGCAAACATTGTAAAAATGTTTCTACATTTAGGCTGTTATCTATCTCTCTTTGTCATACGTCTTAGAGCCCTGTAGGCCGTTGGTCGGGCAAGGTCACTTTAGAAGTCCGGGGTTCGACGCTCGGATATCGCTTGCACCTTGCATAATGATTTCCACTATTCAATGGCCCGGCAATGTTGTTTTCGATACAATGTAAAAGAGCAATTTGTTGCCAATAATATAAATTTGATTTTATATTATTCTTGATTTCTAAATCTGCAACAGATTGATTCTTACGATAACAACAAACAACACGAGTATGAAATTAATAATGGCAAAACATTAATATAAATTATAGGGATTCATAAAATATTGTCGCCACTTCATAAGGCGTGATCGGAAATACACTGTATGCATTCATGGCTTTTGTATCATTTATCACTATTATCTACATACTTTATAAATATGTAGTTATAATCAACTCTCATTAAACAAGGAAAAGTTAAAAATAGCCTCATTCTAAATTTTCCAATTAGTAAAGAAGTCAAAGCGAATAAACTCCGTTCAGTGTTGACATCAGATGTTGTTTTACAGCTCCTATTATAACAGAGTTGTGTACACATGATACAGAAGCTGGAGGAACACCGAACACATCATATTTACTGAGAACATAACCAAATCCCTAAATCAACTTTGGAGATACGCCTTCCTACGTATAAAACATCGCGAGCCTTTATCTTGGGTGAAAAAGGTAGTATTGAGAATGGTGGTAGGTTGTTCCTCTCGATGGGAAACAGGTGTGTTTATTTTGGAAATTAAATTTTAAAATGGTGACGGTCAAGACTGATGTGGAAGCTCCGGCGGTGAAGGAGGAGATCCCTCATGACCACCTCTTCAAGGTGACGGGATTGTCTTCGACTAATCTGGAGAAGTTGGCACAAGGTAAGCATTCCTTGATGGCATGATGTACGATACTATTCAATTTGGGTTATTTTTAGACCTATTGTAGCTGAATTGTACGACGCGGACGCGACGTTATGTTTCTTAAGTTGTGGTGATGTTTTAATTAAATTATTTAGTTAGTCCTATGTCTGAAAAAAAGTAGGTTGTTAGCTTCTTTTTTGTTACAACTTTGAATATTAAACTTTCTCTTATAATAAGACTGAAAGAAATATCATATGATCCAGGCCAAATCAGTAAAAGTGCAAACGTTTACTATACATATACTCATGCAAGGAGGTCGTTACCAAAGATTTCTGTAGTCTGAAATTTTATTGAATGTAGGTGATGGACAAAAATGCGCCGATTTGGGTTCTGTGATCAAAACAACTGGCTGGGCTTGGGACGCTGCCAGGAGCGAACTCGGTCTCCATACCGCGAATGTCACTTTGAAGTATACAGGGTGCGCACAGAACTTGAACTACGTGGTGCCTGGTAGGCAGTGGAACACTTTTTATAGATTTGGACTTAAAACAATATATTGTCATACTGTTTAAAACCTAATTTACAAAGCAATGTAACTTAAGTAATTCCGATGTGAAATTTCGTCATCTTTTCGCTACGCCCTTGATTCAGATACAAATTAAATGATGTTATCGTATGTGACTTTTATTTATAATAACACATACTTAGATAACCATACAATTTGTTTGTGCCTACAGCAGTAAACTTACACCCTAAGTAATTACTAACTTATTAGTACTGTCTATCGTATAGATGATTTCTTCTGACACACCCTGTATAGACGATTTCTTGTAACTTGTTGCTACAATCGTTTCGGAGAAAGACACCTGTACCTAACTGGCTAGACGAGATTATGTATGGACAAATGTGAGTCCTAGGACGTCAATTGCTTGTTGTAAAAGTTCCCTTAAATATTTCATATCTAAGTAGGTGTTTCACTCAAAATTATCTTACAGTACCAATTAGATCATCTTATCGTTAGTTTTTTTAAAAGTATCAATAATACCAATGTTAGCTTTAGTTTCAATATTAGCTTTATATCGACTTGTCACTGACACTAATTACAGTTTTCCCATAATAGATGATTTGGATTGGAGACTAACGAGCGTTAAAATTGGCTTTTAAATTTTAATTCGCCAGGTGAGATGTAATTTCTTTCAGGAAGCTTGCCAACGAGACGGTAGTAAAACTTTAATATTTTATAGGCGACCCACGTGTGCGCGAGCGGTTAAACTATTTATATTAAATATACTGAACAATGCCAATATATTTGAGTACTTTAAGCATAAAAAAGAAAAGTCTTTTTCCATCGGTTTTAGTTAAAACTTTCCTTAAAACGAGAACAATATTGATGTTGCACAATTATTTTAAGAAATCCGAAGTGAAACCTTTTCCTTCTTTAGTAGTTTTTATCTTTAGTCTACATAATAACTGGAAATTTGATAATTTGGAGGCATACATACATAGGTGTCTATCAGCCCAATGTCTCAACCAAATGGTTACGCCAGTTTTGAGTTAAAGGGAAAGCGCCACAGTTACTGAGTGGTTTTGTGAATAAAGAAAAATAAAATAAAATAAAATACCTTAGACACAATTAAGTCGGACAACGGTGGACGGCAGACATGACGTTATTTGACTGCTCGTAAACTTCTGAAATTTTATTTGAGTCACCCGCAAATAGATTCGCAATCCACATAACACCCAGTCGTTAAAAATTTGAAATACCTATCGTTTGCGTATTCCTGAAAAATTTTCACAACTTTTCCTATGTATGTAGGTACGTCATGTGCCAACGTCTTGCTAATTAATTTTTACAAAGTAGAAATTCTTCATTTGGCCAGACGGGTTGGGAAGGACTGATGCTCACATTTTTCTCCCTTGGTCGCCTCTTACAACATCCACGGGAAAAATGGGATGGCGCAATCCGCTAAAATTACAGCAGCTTCATTATCGACAAGTTTTAAAGAGGTCTCCCTTTAAAACTTTGTCTAGCAATAGTGGGCGTCATTTGGTCAAAACGAACGAAAGACACCTAAAGGTTTCCAAAGTCAAAATTAGCAAATCCACTAACAACATCACAATCTTCAAGTTTCAGAGCCGTCAGACTTCGAAGCAGCGATCGCAGCAACGGGCTTCGGGCGCTTCAACATCTTCCTGATGCTGTGCTCTCTCCCTGCCTTCTGGAGCGCGGTCTCCGTCACCAGCTCCGTGTCCTACATCTTCACCAGGGCGCAGTGCGACATGAGCCTCAGCCTGCTCGACATGGGCACCATCAACGCTATCACTTATGGAGGTTAGTTTTCGAAGCTGTAAAGGTGCGTACGGATTGCGCGTACCCTGGTACGCGTACTCAGTTTACGCGTATCCGGAACGCCTAGTCCATACATACATGGACTGGTGCATACATACATGGACTAGGCGTTCCGGATACGCGTAAACTGAGTACGCGTACCAGGGTACGCGCAATNGTATCCGGAACGCCTAGTCCATACATACATGGACTGGTGCATACATACATGGACTAGGCGTTCCGGATACGCGTAAACTGAGTACGCGTACCAGGGTACGCGCAATCCGTACGCACCTTAATATTTTACTAATATTCGCGTGAGCCTCACCTGGTAAGCAATATGCTTGAATTAGAAATGGGGGGTAAGTTGATACGACAGCGTTTGATATCCTTTTTATGAGCAAATGGCAAAGGCAAAATCGAACGTTATTAATTTTTAAAGCTAACTAAAAATATAATTCATCATCATCATCATCATTTCAGCCACAGGACGTCCACTGCTGAACATAGGCCTCCCCCAATGACTTCCACATCGCACAGTTGGTAGCGGCCTGCATCCAGCGCCTTCCTGCTACCTTTATCAGGTCGTCGGTCCACCTTGTGGGTGGACGTCCCACGCTGCGTTTTCCGGTACGTGGCCTCCATTCCAGAACCTTGCTGCCCCATCGGCCGTCAGTTCTGCGTACTATATTGTGCCCTGCCCACTGCCACTTCAGCTTGCTGATCCGTCGGGCTATGTCAGCGACTTTAGTTCGTTTACGGATCTCCACATTTCTGATTCGATCTCGTAAAGAAACACCGAGCATAGTCCTCTCCATAGCACTCCATAGTCTCTCCATAGCACCAAAATATAATATATATAATTATACAGAAGAAACTCACTGTTTTCAGGACTGGAATAAAAAGTATGTCTTAGAATTACCTATTATGGTGGCAAGCTGTACTCGATATTTTGTCACCTTGTTTCTTCTGTTGAATTAAATCATTATGCTAATCGCCTATCCAAGTTGCCGGCATATTTAAGCATACATTTATAAATATTATTGTGCTCATTTATTCCCCATCCAAAAACTTTCGCAGACAATAACAATATCAGTAATCAGTGCACTTGGAATTCATAACTTATGACTCATAGTCATAAGAAATACGGCGACTGCGCATCGAGTGCGCCCACGCCCCACGCAAGGCAACGAAAGCGCCATATCAATATCAAGATAACTTTTAACTACTGTACAAACAAAACTGCGGACTCAGGGAAATCTAAAATGGAGCTGATTTTGCTCCATTGCTTCCTATTTTTTTCATTTTACTGAAAATGGATCCCATATCTGTTTCGGTTAATCCTAAACTTAAATATAATCTGGGAAACTTTGCATTTTTGCAACACTTAAAAATTTGACATCCAGTAAACTATCCTACCTAATTAATAATTTCCTTTAAGCATATTTATTTATTTGTTTATTTAAAGGCAGAACCACAGAATACAATAAAATGTATCGTGCAGTTATCATGAAAATTTGTTAGTAGGTCTGTATGATCACAAACCTGATCACGCGATATTATTTACTTAATAATTATTTACTTTTCCACAATTATATTAAAGTAACATTGAGTACATTATGTTTGCATCGCGATCACACGTATTTTGTAATTATCAAGGGTAAACAACAACACTACAATAGTTCGATATCAGGGTAAATATGCTCAGCGCTCTTCCAAACATAGTTATGTGCATAGCAAACACTCGTGTTGTCTTGCATTGTCACCGGTGAATCCGTATCTATTGGCGCTGTGACGTAAAAGGCTCTTTTGGGAACGCAGTTAAAACCGTATCTACTTTGACTCAGTTATTTTACTAGTTATGAAATATTTGGATGGTATTTTTAGCTCGATGATTTCATATTAAGCTAATTAGTCATTCTAATTACATGTGAAGCACCTGAAACAGTCGTTGTGGAAATCCTTAGGGAAGGCTTAGAGTCCAGCACTATAATAGATCCTTTGGTTGAATCTTTCTCATAAATACAAACACTTACCTACTTACTTACTACTTAGGGGATTTACAAGTAGGTAAGTTTTTAGCTTACAAACGACGTCTCCCTCCAGATCAAAAATAGGTGACAATGTAAAGTCTCTAACACACTGCGGGCAAGAGTGCGTTGTGGTTGCATCAGCGCCGTAGTTTCCAAAGTTTCCATCAGATTTGACAGCTGACATGGTGACGCGTCTATGCTACGACAAACTCACATGCTCATCTTTGTAACTACTATGTAAATATGACTTTGCGCTCATGCCTGCTGTGTATCAGGGGTATTTAAAATACACATTTAGGGGAGACTGGGTACGGTTGAAACAAAGGACGGTTGAAACAGAGCAAATATCTCGTAAACGGTTCCACGGGGAGTTAGGGGTCCTAGGGGAAAAAGAAGCGGACAACAGGTCAGAACACGAATTTAGTGCCTAAAACTTCCTAAGGCGTTGACGTTGTGTGCAAAACGCCATATTGTTTTTTACTGCCCAAAAGTAAGTATTTTTCTTCAGACATTAACGCTTGTACTACCTGTTCTTTTTATGTGAATGTATCGAGTGTGCGTTTGCGATTATAATGAAGCTTGTAGAATAAGGGCCAGTAACTATTTTTAATGTGTTATCATTAGTGTCGAAACTATAAAGTATATTTTACCAAAAGTGGGGTTGGGGACGGTTGAAACATTTTTTGTGGGTACGGTTGAAACAGAAAATTTATTAATGTTTATTTTTTGTAGATACCGAGAGTTTGGGTAAGGAAGATTTCCAGAGAGGAAATTGACTTAGTAAAGCATTAGAGGTGGTAAAAGCTTGAGATTCACTGCGGAAGGCGGCGGAAAAGTATGGTTTGAAAAAAAAAAGATTTTCATTAATTTTATTCAGAATTTTAATATTATTTTATTATTAATGTTTATTAGGTTTGGAAATATCATTTAGTTAATCATATTTCTGTTATTTTTTTAAATGTTTACTACTAATCAAAGGCTAATTAATGTTTTAGAAATATTAAATACTTAGACTGATTAATGTCGTCATGTGGTACTATAATTTTAATATTCGTATTATTAATGATAAATAAAACACGTTTTATTAGTACTTATTGTATTATTTGTATGTATTTCAACAGATCCCAATCGCTGTTTCAACCGCCCCTGGCATGGGGACGGTTGAAACAAAATTTCTTTTTTTTTAAATTGCGTATATTTCTATAAATAGTAACCCGGGAACTATAATGATACAGCCATATCATAGCTAAAACTTCAAATTTCAATTTCACGTATCGTAATCGTCACTTGGTTATTAAACAACAAAATTATAGACAATAAAAGCAAAATTGTTTCAACCGTACCCAGTCTCCCCTACTTATGTCTTGATCATTGATAATTCTGTGTACCTACTTAGTAGGAATTTCCCTTTACACTGTTTTTATTGGATTGATTAAATGGTGTTATTCTAAAAATGCTTTAATAACTGGCGGACAATCCAAAAATATGTAAAAAAAAAATAGCAACAAAGCTAAAACTTGTTCTATGTTGTATGCACTGTGATTCAGGCACTTGTGTTACGAAATGAAAATAGTTGATAGTTAAGTAGTTGCTTTGTCGTCGGCTGTGACGGGACTCTACCTTAGATAAGTACCTCATAATCATCATGTCATGTCATCAGGTTATTCAGTCTACTTCAGGAGGACGCTCTCTCTAATTTACTAGAACCGAAAAGAAGGATTTGGCCAACACCCTTACGCTGGGGAATCAGGTCGGGGAGTTCTGATGCTCGCATGTTACAAATAGTCTGTAATAGACATCATCATCATCATTTCAGCCATAGGACGTCCACGTCACTGAACATAGACCTCCCTCAATGATTTCCACAATGGCCGGTTGGTGGCGGCCTGCATCCAGCGCCTTCCTGCTACCTTTATGAGGTCGTCGATCCACCTTGTGGGTGGACCTCCTACGCTACGCTTTCCGGTACGTAGCCTCCACTCCAGCTTGCTGCCCCATCGGCCGTCAGTTCTGCGTACTATGTGCCCTGCCCATAATCATTGCCACTTTAGCTTGCTAATCCGTCGGGCTATGTCAGCGACTTTAGTTTGTTTACGGATGTCCTCATTTCTGATTCGATCTCGTAAAGAAACACCGAGCATAAACAGACATAGCCCGTCCAATTCCCAAGCAAGTGTTAGTGGGTGGGGCACATAGCTCATAGAACTAACGAACTAACAATTCCTTAAATTTTCATGGTGTTTCCAGGCATGATCTCATCGGCCATGGTATGGGGCTTCCTATCAGACACGCTGGGGCGGCGGCGCATCATGGCCTACGGGTTCTTCTGCTCGGGGCTGGTGGAGATCGCGGCTGCCATGAGCCAGAGCTTCATCATGCTGCTGCTGACGCGTTTTGCCAGCGGGTTTCTGTAAGTACCTACTTAGGACTTTAAATTAATGATAGGGTTCCTGCTGTTCTCCTAGTTAGAACATAATTAAAGTTATGACACAAAAAGTGTACATAGGATAGATAAAATAAACTTTGCACCATTACGAATCAAGCATTTAACACTTTATTAAATGGATTCTTATTCAACAATCTCTCACCCAACAAAGAGTGCAGGACAGTAGAGACAAGTAGGTATTAGAAAAAGCTCACCCAGAATTGAAGACCTCTTAAGAGTCCTACACATAATTACGAAGTGTACTTACACTTAGCTTATTTTCATGAGGACAGATAATAAGCAGGCCTATCTACTCCTTATGAGTAGGTAAGGTTATTGTACTTTACGCCAACGAAGTTACAGGTTACGCTTAAGTAGTACGTAATGACATAAAGAACACCTTTTCAAAGTGGTCTGATGTCAGATAACGCTACAAATAGGATTAAGATGTCAGGCGAGCAAACATTTTGAATAACATGTGACTAATTATTATGTTAGCAGTGCTCGATAGCATCCGCATCATTTAGGGGAATTGAGGTAGGACTAAAATAACTTTCTTATTGCAAAGTCACTTGGCGCACGCGCTCATCATCTTCATCCCGCTTCATCATGTTGCTTTGTTCCTACTGGGAACATCACATCTAGCAACACATTGTAATATGATTTTAAATACATAGGGGACACTGAAGGGAGTTGTAATAGAGGTGTTTTTTTATATGTAAATGCTATTGGAATGCACTTGGAATTGGAGCTAGTGGAGTATAACAGAGGTGATTTGTAACATTTGTACAAATTCTTTGAACCTATCATAGTTAATTTATCAAGCTTCATTCTTTTTCTGTCGCGAATTCTCTGCTCTTTCGACACTCCGCTGCAGTTTACGTGAAAATATCAGCTCGTTTGTCTCACAAGTGAAGAGAAAACGGCTTTTTGTTACACAGGTGTACTAACAGAAATCTGAAAGCAGAGATCTCCTCGATGATCTCATCTACTCATTTGAAGTAACTATTAGTTCTGACAATTGTTGACAAGGTCGTAAGTTAAACATGGTCGTAAACGCTTCTTTTTTTCGAAGTCCGATCTAAAGTCCAATTTCTTTGTCTACCCCAGTTTCAACGGCCCCTTCGCGGTGCTCCTGTCCTACTTAGCAGAGCTCCACCGTACAGAGTTGCGCGCGCGCGTGATCCTGCTCACCAGCCTGTTCTACACCGTGGCCAACACCACGCTGCCCATGCTGGCCTGGGCCATCCTGACCAAGGACTGGCAGTTCCACATCTATGGGGATACTATTGGTAACGAATTTGTACATATTTCGATCACAACTTTCTCTCAGAAAACCATCAACATTTTTGACATATTTTCACCATCATCTCATTTCTCATTGTGATATTTCATTTGAAAGACGTTTCAAAGCTTTTGATCGAAGGTCCACTTGCTTCCAAATCAATTCAACTTATGGATCAAATTGATGTACCTAAGAATATCTTTTGCGTCAACATTCATCTTTTGTTACTATTGCACAAGATTGCACAATCGTAAACAAACTTAGGTACCTACTCCGATAATTTTTTGTCAAACGAATTACTATGAAATTCTTTGTGACATCCACATGCCACGAGGATAATTATGCTAGCTTCCATAGAACAACAAATTTCTTCAATTCAACTAAACGACTACAGTCTTAAACCTTTAATTGCAAGCAAAATCTTAGTTCTAATTCACCATCAATCCTTCTTATTTCCAGTAATCCACAGCTGGAACCTGTTCCTCTTCGCCACGGCTCTGGTGCCGCTCCTCACGGGCGTGGCCTTCCTCTGTCTGCCTGAGAGCCCCAAGTTCCTGATGTCCAGGGGACGGAACGACGAGGCCATGAAGATCTTCAGGAAGATCTACAGCATGAACATGGACAAGCCTGCTGAAGATTATCCGGTGAATTTTAGATTATCTTTGTGTAGTTGCAAAACGGATTAGTAACTCGTAAATATTCATAACGCCACTTCTGTATTTTCGTTTACTCACTCTTGTTCACTCACAACAGTTGTCAGTAACAACTTGAGGGACAGCCTCAGAGTACTGAAACGGCGATAAGTAGCAACCCCTCTGACAAGACGAGCGGAGAAAAGTATGTGCACATTATGTCAGTCATGTCTCTTTTATGCCCGATTCGACCAAACTTTTATCCGAGAATAACTCCTGGTATAACTAGCACATTGACATTTTCAATACGGGATATATGTCAAAATGACATGTTTATTCTGAGATTAATATTTACTCTTGTTTGGTCGAATCCACCCTTAGGCTGGGTTGCACCACCTTACATTAACTTTGACAAACGTCGAAAATCTGTCAAAATCCATACAAAATACACCGGATAACGTTATAGTTACGGTCTAAGTTAGATGGTGCAACTCAGCCTTAGAAGTGTTAATAATTAAGAGTATGTGCCAAGGTATGTCATATGATTGAAGATTTTAATGATTTGATGATGATGATGTCATTGGTTGTGACATTCAAATCTATATTCCAGATTACTCAACTAGTAGAAGAGAAGACGGAAGAACAAGCTCGAGGAGTGGCAGCCCTGAGGGGGGGCGTGGCGCAGCTGCTGCCGCTGTTCAGGCCGCCGCACGCCAAGTGGCTGCTGCTCATCTGCTTCATACACTTGGGCTGTATGTTCGGGTAAACGTGAGGGTTCATCATAACCTAGTGAAGACGCATGGTGGATTACCAAGCCGCCTAGGCCAGGACGCTAACTAGAGTTCTGACCTTGGGCTCCGGTAGACACTGGCAAGTTTTAGTGTGAAGGTCCTACTCTGCGCAGTGCGCACGTTGCACCAAGTAGTTGCTGCTCCTCTGCTTCATACACTTGGGCTGTATGTTCGGGTAAACGTGAGGGTTCATCATGACCGAATGGTGGATAGTTGACCAAATTGTCTACTCTAGACGCTTACTAGTTAACTCGTACCTAGTTCTGTCCTAATAACACTGCCAGTCATGTTTTAAAGTGACAGCTACCCTTTTGGCGGAGATTAATAAGCTAACATAACCCTCAATGACCTACAACTACTTACTTAGTTTGGTGCAATTTCACGCATTTCCTGTCAAATTAAATACATTACCTTTCTTTGCTTCGAGCAGTGGAGTGACAATAGGAAAGCCGCTAGCCAATAGTCTTTAAAGAAGTATAGAGAGGTCTATTTAAAGAAGTATTCTATAGCCGGGTTTCTAATTCAACCACAGTTGCGCCACCTTTGGGTCCAACAAACAAATCTATACTACTATACTATTATAAAGCTGAAGAGTTTGTTTGTTTACTTGGACCCGCTAATCTCAGGAACTACCGGTCCGATTTGAAAAGTTATTTCAGTGTTAGATAGCTCATTTACCGAGAAAGGCTGTATCCATCACGCTACGAGTAATAGGTGCAGAGCAAAAATGAAAAATGTTGCGAAAACGGGTTTTCACGCGTACGAAGTCGCGGGCACAGCTAGTTGTAGATAAAACGGGATAATCAAGAATGATCATCTCTAACATTACACTTACCTCCTAGTTTAGAATCTATACCAAGTACGTGATGATAATTCTGAAATATACCATCCAGGTCCAACACGATCCGCCTGTGGTACCCGCAACTAGCCGCCATGATCGGCTCGGAGACCAACGGCAGTCTGTGCTCTGCCATCGCGCCGGGCCCGGTGCTGGTGGCCGATGAAGCCTGCGTGCCCATCGAGACCGACATCCTGACGTATCTACAGAGCGCCGTGGTGGGAGCTGGCTCCGTGCTGACGTATGGAGTTGGTGGGGCGCTGATTAACAGGTAAGAGCATGTAAGCTCATGAGCGTTCCCAGCTACAGGAGATGGCAGTTGCCCCCTGCCCCCTGAAGGAGGAAAAAACTGACTCCCTAGGGCACAAGCTGGGTACGCCCATGTGTAATAATAAAGTTGCCTGCCAGATCCAGGTATGTAATAAAGCCGGCTGCATCTTCTATCGTATTTTCAACCGACTTCAAAAAAGGAGGAGGTTCTCAATTCGACCCGTATGTTTTTTTTTTTCTATGTTTGTTACGCGATAACTCCGCCAATTATGAACCGATTTGAACAAATCTTTTTTCTGCGTATAGGTGATANCTTTTAACCCTCTTTTCCTCTTTTTAACTCCCATAAGGGTTGAATTTTGCAAAATTTCGTCTTAGTGACTACCTACGTTCTAAAAGGAGGTGTTTCACTTTCTGGCTGATCAAAGCCAGGTGATCAAAGTGGACTTACAGCGACAATTTAGTGTCCTTTGAATTTATTCTGTGCCTTTGATCACCCACGGATACGATGTCCTGGGTGAGCCAAGTGGACTCTAGTTAAATTATTATTTTAGTGTCCTTTGATCATCTACAAAAAAATCACACCTCCTCTGAATAGTCACATGTCCAACTGTTATACTACATATTTTGTTTTGTAACATTTTTGATATTTTCTAAAAACCGCAATAAACAAATTGGACATGTATGTGACAATTCAGAGGTATGATTTATTTTATAGGTGATCAATGAACACTAAAAAAAATAATTTAACTGGATAATAATAATTTTAAAATAATTTCGTTTGCCTCTTATCACATAAAAAAAAACTGGAGTCCACTTTGATCATCTTGGTGATCAAAGCCAGGTGGAATAGACCATTAACCCCTATGAGAACTCTTTTGAGACTTGTAGTTTCTGAGACTTCGTCACTTAGTCATTCAATGACCTTTCTTTCTACTAAAATTTAGCTTATAATTAACATCCTTCCTCCTGACGAGTACCAATGGGGATAAACTAAGCACAGGAATGAAGTTGTATTTGCAAGATCATAAGCCATGTAATCAATTACATCGCGCCGGGCCCGGTGCTGGTGGCTGATGAAGCCTGCGTGCCCATCGAGACCGACATCCTGACGTACTTGCAGAGCGCCGTCGTGGGAGCTGGCTCCGTGCTGACATATGGAGTTGGTGGGGCGCTGATTAACAGGTAAGAGCATGTAAGCCCATGAGCGTTCCCAGCTACAGGAGATGGCAGTTGGCCCCTCCCTCTGAAGGAGGAAAAAACTGACTCCCCCTCCCTAGGGCACAAGCTGGGTACGCCCATGTGTAATAATCAAGTTGCCTGCCAGATCCAGGTATGTAATAAAGCCGGCTGCATCTTCTATCGTATTTTAGCTTATAATTAACATCCTTCCTCCTGACGAGTACCAATGGGGATAAACTAAGCACAGGAATGAAGTTGTATTTGCAAGATCATAAGCCATGTAATCGATTACATCGCGCCGGGCCCGGCGCTGGTGGCTGATGAAGCCTGCGTGCCCATCGAGACAGATATCCTGACGTATCTGCAGAGCGCCGTGGTGGGAGCTGGCTCCGTGCTGACGTATGGAGTTGGTGGGGCGCTGATTAACAGGTACGAGCATGTAAGCCCATGAGCGTTCCCAGCTACAGGAGATGGCAGTTGCCCCCTCCTGCCCCCTGAAGGAGGAAAAAACTGACTCCCCCTCCCTAGGGCACAAGCTGGGTACGCCCATGTGTAATAATAAAGTTGCCTGCCAGATCCAGGTATGTAATAAAGCCGGCTGCATCTTCTATCGTATTTTAGCTTATAATTAACATCCTTCCTCCTGACGAGTACCAATGGGGATAAACTAAGCACAGGAATGAAGTTGTATTTGCAAGATCATAAGCAATGTAATCAATTATATCGCGCCGGGCCCGGTGCTGGTGGCTGATGAAGCCTGCGTGCCCATCGAGACAGACATCCTGACGTACCTACAGAGCGCCGTGGTGGGAGCTGGCTCCGTGCTGACGTATGGAGTTGGTGGGGCGCTGATTAACAGGTAAGAGCATGTAAGCCCATGGGCGTTCCCAGCCCAGCTTCAGGAGATGGGAGCTGCCCCCTAAGGCACAAGCTGGGTGGGCACGCCCATGTGTAAAGTTGCCTGCCAGATCCAGGTATGTAATAAAGCCGGCTGCATCTTCTATCGTATTTTAGCTTATAATTAACATCCTTCCTCCTGACGAGTACCAATGGGGATAAACTAAGCACAGGAATGAAGTTGTATTTGCAAGATCATAAGCCATGTACTTAATCAATTACATCGCGCCGGGCCCGGTGCTGGTGGCTGATGAAGCCTGCGTGCCCATCGAGACCGACATCCTGACGTACCTGTAGAGCGCCGTGGTGGGAGCTGGCTCCGTACTGACGTATGGAGTTGGTGGAGCGCTGATTAATAGGTACTCATATAAAATGCTAACCCTTAAATCGTCTACCAGGCCCATGCATGAACGTAATACACAGTTGCTTCAGAAGTGGTGGTTCAAGCTATATTTGACACGTGTTAGTATACTAAAAGGGCCTTTTTAACTAATAAATTGTAAAGTTAATTACAACGAGTCCAAGGGGATGAATTCCAGTATTCCTGGTTTGATTTGCAAGTTCTTGAAAATATTAATAACTAATAGGCTTAATTAAAAAATTGCATTCATTTAAGTCCACACATTGGTCGTGGAACCTGATGACAAAAACACCGACCCCGCGCTAAGTTTCTTAGAACTAGACGTGATCATTTATCTAAGATAGCTCTAAGATCGATCGATGATGGTTTGCAAAATACAACAACAACAATATAATTTAGAGGTTTGTTTCCATATCGTCATTGCAAATTATACAACGTTTTTATTGGCTTGTTTCAAACCAGATGCGGCAAGAAGGTAGTGGTGGGCGTGAGCGGCGTCATCAGCGCGGGTCTGGTGGTGCTGCTGCCTCTCCTGGGGCATGACGCGATGTCGGTGGCGGCGCTGGTGACGGCCGTGCTCGCCTTCACTTCACTCTTCGGGGCTTCCATGCACAGCGTCGCCGTCGACCTGTTCCCGACTTCACTGAGGTAAGAGCCACCGCACAAACTACTTTCAGCATCGGCAATTTAGCCGCTTTTTAGAGAGAGATACAGCGACCACACATTCCACATCGCACACGAAAACGCGAAACGAGCTGCTTTCTGTCTAAACGGTCGATGATTTGACATTTCTGCAGAACACCACAGTGTTCAGTGTGACGTTAAAATACGCGATTCTGATACTGCGTCCTAACGTATGAAGTCGTAAAATCCCGATGCTGCATTTGTACAGTCGCAAAATCCGATATGTCAGAAGTAGAATATTCTCGACTTCATTGAGGTGAAGTCTACATGAGGGGTCATGAGACCGGGTCTGGTGGTGCTGCTGCCTCTCCTGGGGCACGACGTGCTGTCGGTGGCGGCGCTGGTGACGGCCGTGCTGGCCTTCACCTCACTCTTCGGGGCTTCCATGCACAGCGTCGCTGTCGACCTGTTTCCGACTTCACTAAGGTAAGAGCCACCGCACAATCTACTTCAGCATCAGAAATTTTGCCGTTTTTTAGAGCTGAATACAACGACCACGCACACATAAAAACGCGAAACGAGCTGCTTTCTGTCTAAACCGTCGATGATTTGACATTTCTGCAGAACACCAGTGTTCAGTCTGACGTTAAAATTCGCGATTCTGATACTCTGTCCGAACCACGGGTCCGCAGGCATGAAGTCGCAAAATCGCGATGCTCCGGGTGCATTGGTACAGTCGCAAAATCCCATAGCCAATGTCAAAAGTAAATATAAATACTTAATACTTACTGTTCTTAAAATTAATTAGTTTTTCTTTCTTTTTAGCTAATACTATAATAACAATCCACGAAAATAAGTAGAATTTAAAACGTTTTTCACGGCGAGGTCTCGCCGAAGTGGTGCACCGCACTTAACGTATCTTGGCTCTCTAGCATACGTACCAGGAATGGCCCGTAAAGAGTTTCTTCTGCCCAACTTGCTCCAAGAGAGTGTTGCGCGTTAAGGTATTTTTCCTACTTTAGTGAGCTGCCACACAGGCGGATTGCAAGCGAATTGCAGTGGTGACTCAGCGAACACTCCGCGACTCCGCGTGTTCGCTGTGTCGACGCCGCGCTGGGCGCTCCGCTTTAAAAAGACTTGCAATCCGCCACTGTGGCAAGGCCCTATAATTATGTATGGCCAACAAAGTACTTACTTACCTATTGTTTCACAGGGTGATGGCAATGGCAACCTTCCTGATGAGCGGGCGGCTGGGCACCATCGCGGGCACCGTCATCTTCCCCGCGCTCGTCACCTACGGCTGTTGGCCGCCCTTCATCACCATCGCAGCGGTCTTGGGCGGTAAGCAGTTATAATAATAATAATAAATAAATATCCTTAGACATTTTACACTGCGCTTCTAGTCCCAAACTAAGCAAAGCTTGTACTATGGGTACTAGACAACGGATATAAACATACTTAAATACTTTTTTTTTGTAAGTACATACTTATTATACATAGAAAACACCCAGTCCAATACAAACAAATATGTTCATGCACACAAATGTTTGTACTGTGCGGGAATCGAACCCGCTACCTCTGGAATAGTAGTCCGTTTCGAACCACTACACCAAACGGCCGACAAAGTTGTACATTATGCGGGAAATTGGCGGAGACGTAATTGTGTGAACACCATCTCAGTGGCGGATTTACCAATAGGCCAAGTAGGCCAGTGCCTAGGGCGGCAGATTTAGAGGGGCGGCAAATTTAGCAAATTTTTTTTTACAGGAAAAAAATATACGTATACCTACACAATCCATATATAAATAAACGATTAATAAACGCACTGTAATATACAGGGTGTTAGGTAAATGGGTATATGAGCCGACACTAGCCCATGTTAACATGGTCATATAAATGGTATGGTGAAGTCAGAAAATTGATATCTTCATTTTAATTATTTAAATTTTCATACAAATCGGAATTTAGAAAATTTATTTTGTATGAAAATTAAAAAAATTAAAATGATGATATCAATTTTCTGACTTCACCATACCATTTATATGACCATGTTAACATGGGCTAGTGTTGGCTCATATACCCATTTGCCTAACACCCCGTATACTTAGGTACTTAATGTGATCATGAATTTTAAAATATTCCAATAGCGTTTCAATAAAAATAAAATAAAAAAACTCTTAAATAACACAGGATCTTCGGAGCCTAGCACGAGCACCATCTCTCCACAACTTCGTGTCATATTGTTTTACAGGGTAGCCCAGAAAAAAATTCACTTTTGAAAATTCAAGGAAACGAAAACTGTACATTTTTGTAGAACTTAAAGCTATTGCAATTTAAAGGAAATTTAGTGCAATTTATTTTAAAATTTCCTATCTTATATAAATTTTATCGTAGGTACATGTGATTCCCTTGACGTTTACAACATTCGGTCAACATACATCAACATTTTTGAAAACTTTCGTAAGCGCTGATGCACACGACGCCGCTACCGGGCCGCCGCCGCGCCGTCGCCGCGCCTTTGCACTGTTTATACGCGCTGCGTGAACACCGCTGCCGCGCAGCCGCCGCGTTCGCGCGCGAAATTATGCTTTGTTGGCGCGGTGGCGGCGCGGCGGCGGTTTTACTCGGTGCGTATGAACAGTGTAGCGGCGCGGCGACGGCGCGGCGGCGGCGCGGTGGCAGCGTCGTGTGCAGGAGCCCTTAGAGTTACCTCAAAATAGATTTAGGATGGATGAATGCTGCAGAGTTTTTGGATTATTAGAGTATACTCTGCTCATAAGGTAACCTCACAAAAAGTCTGCTGGAATGAGATTAGCGCTTCTTAGAGGCAGTGAGATTTCACCACTGCTTAATTGGTTTGTTGCATTTGTAAGGATGATTAATTTTTGAGAGCGCTTATGAGCGCTATACTAGTAGGCTGAAAAGCTTTTTGATTTCAAAGATGAAAGATTTGCAAGGTTATGACCGGAGAACTTGGTTTCATCAAGATGGTGCTACGTGTCACACTTCAACTGAGAGCATTTAGATGGTAAGAGACATGTTCCCACAAAAAAATAATTTCAGGCAGGGGTGACATCTCCTGGTCACCAGGAAGCCCAGGAAGAAATAGGTTTCAAAGTAATTCTGACGAACGCATTCCAAGATTTTGATGTGTTGATCGAATGTTGTAAGCGTCAAAGAAATCTCCTGGGCGATGTAATTTAATAAAGGTAAATTTAAAAATAGATTGCATTAAATTTTCTTTAATATAATTTAAATTGCAATAGTTAAAGTTCTATAAAAATGTAGGTCAGTTTTCGTTTCCTTGAATTTTTAAAAGTTAATTTTCTTCTGGGCCACCCTGTATTACCAAGCCTTGGTCTTTCTGTTTACCTTTAAGTAGTTCTTAGCTAATTATACTGGATATAGACTTCGCATGGCTCTGTGCACATTCAGGTGAGAAGCTTTTTTTGCTTAAAACGGGTTAAAAACTATCTACGATCTACTTTAAGTCAAGGTACAAGGAAGAGGGGCAGCCACATTAGGTAACACAGAGTCGTTCAGGAGAGTGCCAGGAAGAGGTGCAGCAACCGCAGTTAAGGAACAGCTGGGACGAACAAGGATAAGCGAATCCAACTCGTGAGCCTTGACAGGGATACGCTGGTTATGGCGACCCTTTACAAGGCTTGGGAGCTTACGGGTGACGAGCTATTGGACGTGGAGAGGGTCATTAATTATACACATATTTTCTACTTTGCCGAACATTTTCACGAGAACGGTTTGTCCAAAACATATGAATTTGGTCTTATTTAATGCAAAATTAAATGCCCTTCAACCGTCAGGAAGACCACTTTTCGATAGGGTAAGTCCTTTACGCAGTATAACCGGAAAACCGAAAAAGCGCCCCTTTCGGGGGCCCCCACCACTTAAGCACAACTCCGTCGAAGTCGAAAACCTAGGAGAGTCTTAATGGGCAACCAATGAAGCCATTAAAGCAATGAAATCTTTTGTAGGAATTATTTCCGATTTAAAATCTAATTCTTCTGGCCTATTAATGCTTTATCTCTTTTGTGCATAGAGTCAGAACTTATGAAAAAGATTTCATACGTCGATATAATTAATGATTTTGCTAATTTAAAATCTCGCAAGAAAATAATGTAAAACTTATTTGATCTCATTGTCTGTCACCATTAACTGAATTGTTAACATGTTATATTTTAATAGAAATTGTTTGTATTGTTTTTAAACTGTTAAGTCCAATAAAAAATATTTACCAAAAACAATGTTTACTGACCGCACATTATTTTGTCTGTGTTCATATAGTGTAGGTATTTTTAAGTCATGCCTTTGCCCACCTTAGGATTATTACATACCTACTGCTGTTTTTAGGTCAACATTAAACTCTTCATTATTACATAGCGGGTTGCAATAATAATCTAGTAACTGACAGAAATATCATTTCATACTAATAACGGGATTAAACTAACGTATTGAATTTCAAAAGTCAGTAGGTAGGGGCGGCAAAAATTGAATGGCCTACTAGCGGCAAATTTGTAAATCCGCCACTGCACCATCTCGCTTACTTTCTCCTTCCCCCGGGACAAACTTGACCTTCACTGGTTGGGTTTTTATTGGCGGTCAAGCTGTAGATCCTAGCTACACAGGAGTTGCAGCGGCGGGAACGAGGGGTGGGAATAGTTCCGTTTCTCCTTCGCCCACCCGTGCGTCCGCCCTTCGGTGTGCGATCTAGCGCTTCGTCTCTGTCCATTTTCCGCATAGTGTAGGTACTTGCACCACTATAGAGATACGAGGCAAAATCTGTGGAGGAGATCTTTGAGGGGAGAGTGGACGACCCTTTTGACTGAAACAATGAAACAACGAGGGCATAAAAACTGCTCACTAGATGCTTTTTTCATCCAGACTGAATTCGGTATGTTCGTACAATCAGTTAAGGACGTAGCACACTTATCAGCCTGAAAAGGAATCTGCACCGTAGTAAACGCCTCGCATCGCGGTTGACATCGCGCAAAAGGCAAAATGACAGCTCGCGAAAGGCGATACGGTGTTGATCCCTTTCCGAGTTGATAAGTCTGCTTTATTTATTTATTTATTTATTTAAGGTCATAAGGGTTGATAAATGTGCGACCTGCGACGTCTTTTAATCTGTACGACACAATGGTAAGACACGGACGGATTCGTGCCTAGCTACATGCTAGAGAAGCGCCGCCCTGGTGGCAAACATGGGAGTTCTCACTAGCTCCACTAGCACTATTGCAAGTGTATTGTCGATGATACTGAATAAACATTTTTTCTTTCTTTCTTTCTTTCTTTCACTATGCGGACTGATTTCAAACTAATTGGACATAATAATGTTCTAGAAAAGACATAGATGGCGTTGCTAAAAAATAATTAAGAACCCATTATTATTATTTTTGGTATTATGTTTATTTTGTTTTTGGTTTTTTGTAATAAAAATATAGTTCCAAAATACTGGACTGTCCTGTCGATGACATTGACAGTGGGGCGCCACCGTCAATACCGAATCGCTGGTTCAGATTTTTGCCATGTTGGAAACCATATAGTTGAACGATGGTAGCGCCCCCCTGTCATTGAGTTTGGTGGGACAGTTCAGCGTGGGTCATCTATAAAGGATTTGATTTGACTACCCTTAGACATTGTAAAAAGTTAGTACTTTTACAAGTTTCTTTTTAGCGACAACGCCATCTATGTATTTAGTCCAAAACTATTTGATATTCATGTGCTTAAACTAAATAATTTCTTATTTCCAAGTTAGATGGAGCTGTTTACAAATCTTTGAACATTGATGATAAATTGTTACAATTTTCAGTATGCGGATTGACCTGCTGCATGCTTCCTAATACCACTTTGAAGAAGTTGGAATGAAGAAAAACAATAAAGACTGACCACCAACACACCTACCTACCGACACAAACTTTTTTTTGTAAAATAACTGGCTGCAATGATAACGGTGGTAGGTTTCCCGCCTATTCTTTAAAAAAGATAGAATGCAGCTTGTAATAAGGTACTTTTTTAATTCCAAATGATGTGCCTGGACTGGACTATCTGAATTTATTCCGCCTTTGCGTAAGTACCTAAGTAGGTATTTGGAATCAGAATCTATGCTAAATCTAGGCAATTTCAACCTAAATTGTATTTAGAAATTGCCAAAAAGAGTTAAGAAAATAATTATACAGTTAGGGTAACTTAGTGAAATGAAGATGAATAAAACGGCAGCTGTTTTAAAAATATTATCTTTCTTTATTTATAATTTATCATAACCTAATCTCTTCCATCGTCGCAGGCGCAACTAGACTGGCGAATTAGGGACACCTAAATTATTAAATTTCTCATTAAGTTTATTTATTATTACACCAGCAAAACATATTTTAACAATGTGTTTTAATTTAATTTCGAAACCGTACACTTCCGGCCACGGAAAAGTATGACCATATTTTTTGACAACTTGTATAAAACCTTATTTTACGTTCTAAATAACAACTTCCAATATATAATTTAGTATTAAACACTGTTTTTCTCTTAAAAAGAAGTTAACACATTGTAAAATATGTTTTAATTTATTAAGGCGCTACATCAGTCTAACGCGATGATTGAACAGCGGATGTATGAATTCCCAAGACATACAACAACGACGGAATCGTGCTTGCATTTGTGACTATGAACAGAACGATAACTTAACGAGAGGTGTAGGCCAGGAGTATCGTTGCCGCAGCGGTATAAATAGAAAACAATTCAAGTGTCAATGCTATCCCGTCCGAGAACACAACTGGCATTTATCAGTCGAACGACTAAAAAATACACATAGATGTTGTTATTATCTGTTATATTCTTCGGGGCAACATTGCACACATGAAGCAGCAAAAAATCTTGCAAACGAAAATCTTTGCATTTTAAACATGGCACTGACGGATGATAAAATCAATTTCTAAGCTGTAGTAAAAATGTCGATGCAAACATTTTCGCTTGCAAGCTTACGCCTTGGGCACCATTTTAAACTATTGCTTTTATTCTTTAACTGGCCAGTTCATACGTATTACCAGTACACTTATGTAATACGACAAAGCAAGATTTTTATAAAGACTAGAATGAAATCTTATTGTCAAGTCAACTCACTTTGTCTCTAAGCAGTACACTCATAAATTCGAGCTTTCATATACGTATTTGTATATAATTATAGACTTATTTTATAGGCCAGTGAAATTGACTGTATTTACCCTACATATTATGTATAAATTTTGGATTATAACTTTATATATTATATCTGAATACAACGCAAGGCACAATGTTCAAAATCTGTTTTAGACAATTCACCTATCTATGTTTTTTAAAATCAATTAGATTGCACTATTTTTAATAAAATTTAATTTAACATTGGCAGATCTTTTTCGATTATAAAAACTAAAAGATCAAAACGTTGTGTGATTATGTCTAACGAAACTAGATTTCCTGTGGTGGCTCCCATCACGCACAATACACGTACTGAGATACATTTCACGATAACCTTTACTGAAGTCGGTTAGAAATGCTTTTCACACAGCCTTCTTCACATTTATAAACTGTTACAACTCGCAATACAAAATTGTGTCAAATAATATTTTTGTACAAAAAAGAAGTATGACTATGTCACCGGAAAATAACAAGACTCGTAAGTTGATCAATTTTCTAGGTAGTTGATCAACTCTCGGAAAATAATAAACGGCATTTGAAATGTACTATTTAACGTATGTATTTTAGTAAGTTGATTAATTTACGGCGTCTTGCCGTTAAATCATCCGACAAAGGCAAGGTGCTCGTTGATTGGTTAAAAGACTCACGTGCTCTTATACCGCTCCCCGCCACCCGGCCGCCGCCATTACCGGTTTAAACGTAAACAAATATATTATCTAGTCCGTACTTGTTTTCCTTTATTTACAGTAGCAAAATTAGCAATTGTTGTTTTGTTTGGTAATAATTCTCATTATAATGCGTGATTCTATTTATGATGAGTGAAATGGAGTCTGTAGTGGTAGAAATAAACGAACAATCAGTGAGCAATACTAGTTTTGTCGATCGAGAACACTTTGATGCAGAGTTACAAAAGTACTACAGTGGGCTAAGTACAGTTTATTTTCTGTACTTAGCCCACTGATTGTACTGACTGATTAAACTGATTATAATACTTATTATGAATATAACTTACAATCATAAAACTCTGAGCTCCAATATATTTTTTTAGACATTTTTCATTTACTTAACCTAATATAGCATAGACGAACTTGAATATCCCTATCTCTAAAATATATATATTAAAACAAAATATCTAAGTGTTTGTAACTCTATGAATAAACACTTGCTAAATGCTTATAATTAATGCTGTCGACCAATCAGAGAAAAGTGTATTAAGTGACGGATAATAGTGTACCGTCAAATAGTACACTGGGCAACGATTGGTCCATTTGTGGATGATTTTACTTGAAGCAATATAGTAAATTATTAAATTACGGATAGGTACCGTAGGTTGACCAACTAGCTAAAATTCAATGCGTTAAATAGTACATTTCAACTGCCGTTTATTATTTTCCGAGAGTTGATCAACTACCTAGAAAATTGATCAACTTACGAGTCTTGTTATTTTCCGGTGACAACTATACACTAATCTTAAATAATTTAAATTCTAAGGTAAGGCATATTTCATAATTATAAATAGTTTATTACAAATATTATAGTACATATAACTTTTATATATACAGTCTCGCGTTGTCTTAAAGCCGAGTTCTATACAATATTATACAACTTCAGAAAATTGTATAGTGACTATTATGGTACATTATTACACGGAGTAAGGCCTCATAATTACCGTGGCGGAGAAAACGGGTGCACTAGGAACTCCTCGACGAAATTGGCTGGTCCAATCTGAGAGAGTCGCCGAACTGATGAACATGCGAGCCGGTGATAAATGAACAATGAGGCATGATTGCAGTCGAGAATGTCATGAAAATGAAGATGGTTTTATACCCTATGTTTTCTCATAAATATTTTTTGCATGTACACATTTTTGGAAATTCATTTAGCAAATAAATTACAAGGCCTCTTCATTTATGTACGCGTGGTTAATTTAAAATCATTTCTATTTACATTTATAAACGATAACATATTGATTTAATAAATGAATAAATACATCACGCTACTTGATCGTAAGAATGACCCTAAATAAGGGTTCCGTCCGATTGTAGTGCAACGCGTGTGATGCACTAAAATATCATAAATTATACTCTTGGGTACACAGAAAACCGTCTAAATATTTATTGATATGAGTAAAAAGTATTTAAGACCAATAAAATAAAAAATATGATTGCAAAATTAAATATTGTGATCTATTTTCGACGTCCCCAAGTGTACACTTAAATTAATTAAATTAAATAAGTCCAACAATAAACAAAAACCGTTCACATGAGTTCATTTCAAATTGTCTTTGCACTGCACTGTAGTTTGTGAGTTCACCGTGGTGACTGCTGTTTTTGGGGACACGAGGTAAGTATCAATTTGTCTTTCAGACTTTTGTACTCGGGAGTACCGTTTTAAGTACATCGAAAAGGGTCGTGTTCCCGAAAGCGGCAGCCGGCCAGAGCACTTTAGTCCTTGCGTCAGCTCGGAGGGGCCAGGAGGACCTCGAGCCAGCAGGGGCACGCGGTGACGTCCCTGCGGGAGTACTTGGGCCCCCAGCCCTTGGCGAAGGAGATGCGCACGGAGCGGGGGTCCACGGGGCCCACGTGCGGGAGGGACACGGCCGGCGGGGGGCACGCGGGGTCGAAGATGCACAGGCAGTGGCCGGGGGCCACGCGCCACACCAGCAGCGCCTTGGCCGCGGCCGCGTCGAGCGCCGGCGAGCTGACGAACACGGGCTCTTGGCTCCGGTTGTAGAGCCAGACGCCGTCCGCCTCTAGAGAGAGGGTCACGCCAAGACCGATTTTGGACCGCGTTTTTCGCACCTGAAATGAATTAAAAGAGTTTGGTTAGATACTGTCAATATCAATAAACTAAATTCTAAAATTATTTTAGTTGGCTATCAGCAGTCTTATTGGAATGACTTCTACAGAATCCAAAAAACGCTGTTATTGCTGTCCAATAAAGGCAAATGTTTTTGAACCATTAAAGTCTGAGTCTTACTAGCTAAATTTCTATATTGGTTTTATAATAGGCCTGCTTTTATTCATAATTTATCGCAAATTGATGTGGGAAAAGAAAATACTGCTATCGATATCATAGAGAATCGTAAGCCTTTACACTTATTCGCCAAGTAAATACAACAATATTATTCAATTTATTACAAAATGCCATCTCCGCCGGCCGCGGTATCAGGGGTTATCGCTCGCTCGCCGAATCAATATGCCCTATCGCAATCAACGCTAATCGACAACACTGTCTTAGTAATTGATAGCACATCTCATTGGTGTACTGTAAATACAACTTAAATTTTGTTTTAATTGTGGCTAAAGGAAGCACGAGCTGATTACTTTAGCCTTCAACAAAAAGAGGTAAAGCCACAAAATAATGTCAATTCATTAAAGATGGACTAACCCTATAGATCTTCACAGTAAAGAATTGCTAGAATCAGATACTTTTTAAAGGACATACATATGCCTAAAGTTATGTAATAATTTAATTCTATGCCATCAATTTCATAACATTGGCATGCTTCAAAGCGATGCAAATATAATTAATTTTGATAAATGATTGATTAATGAGAACTCATTGCAGTAACCTTTGGTTCCCTTCACGAGAAGCGAGAGCCTGATCCTCGTTTACGAGGAACCCGATAAGCAATCAGGAGCGGTTACATTCACTGGTACGAGCTGATAAGTGACGTAATTGCTAAACTATCTTAAATGCAAACGTATTCAAATTTTTTTAATGGAATGAACGAGGATTATTCTCTTATTTCTTCAATAGTGACTGTTATTCTCCTCTATAGTACACAGAAGGAGGTGGCAGGTACGGTCGGTCAAGGAAGAGGATTCTAAGTCTGATAGCTGAAGAAGTATCAATTACTTAATCGTTGGACAGAGCCACCATACTTGGCAGAAATGCAGCTTAACAGGCTACCTCTGAAGCATGGAGTGGAGCTACTCCATATTTCTTGCTTTCCAAAAAGCCTACCAGCTTGCGGGCTTACAATGCACCACACACTGAGTCTTTTAAATTCAGAGATACCTACTCCACGGGAGAGACCACAATGGTTTTAAAGCCCGAAAATCGGATTTTCGCAGTCATGTGACTTAGCTGAGCTAGATAAAGTTGCACAACCAACCTGGTCAGCTTGAGGCGCGTCGGGCCGCTGGTCCAGCGCATCGAGGCACAGCCCGCGGCGGCCGGAGGCGCAGGCGCCGCCGAACACGTCCACGGCGCGCCCGCGCACGCCGAACTGCCGGCCCACGCGCTGCGTCAGCTCCCAGTATGCTAGCCTGCACCATTCCGTCTCCCAGGTTTGCTTTTCTGGAAGAGGAGAGAAGGAATATGTCAAAATACTTCTACCACAGAATCAGTACTATTACTTCGTATAGATGACCTACACTGAACTGCCCCACCAAACTCATTGATAGGGAGGCGCTACCATCGTTCAACTATATAGTTTCCAACATGGCAAAAATCGGAACCAGCTATCCGGTATTGACGGTGGCGCCCCCCTGTCAAAATTTCACAGATGGGACAGAAGTCAGAACAGTGTATTGGGTCTATACTTGGAAGAACGAGGAACATGGAAGAGGGAGGAGAGCGTATTGAAGTACGCTCTCCTCCTTCTCCAATGTTCAGATTTTTTTTAAAAGAAGAGAGGGAATATGAGGCAAATTATACTCCTGGATTAATACGCTCATATCTCTCGAGTTGCATGCCTGACAAGGTTCATAAAACACATTTTACTTGATGCTAGACTTTGTGCTTGTATTCGATAACAGAACTTTACTTTTGTTTTGGTATAGAAGGGAAAATTTTAAGACTTATACAGCTCTTAAAGTATCAAGAATAATCAATAGAAATTTTAATAACTTTGAGTGTCCTAATTCAGTGCTCGAAAGTGTAAAAATTGAATGCGACAAAATGGCGACGCAACTAGCAAAATACAGGTTTACATTTTGTTTTATTACTTTTAAATTACAAATAATAATTAAAACAAAATAACTGCACGGATCATGCAGACTAAAATGCCAGTTCACTTTCATCAATCTTATCACCGTAAACCAGTCGGAAGCGTTTTGGCCCGGTCGGAAATGCATTAAATTCCAGGAACGAAATCCTGACGTCGGCCTAGAATGCGACCACAACGAGAACGGTTGTCGGTAGATCATTTTATTGATTGATTTCTTATTAAAGTAAGCAACGGACGTTTTGGGAAAAGTGGAATGATCTAACTAAATGATGTCTTCATAGATTTACATGGCGGCGCCGATAGATGGCAATATACCGAATTAAATCTTCGATGATTTGTTCTTTCAGGTAGGTAAGTGACTATACTTGATACAAGACTTGAAAGGAGTTCTGCTGAGATTTGGACATTATTGAAAATTTCATTTCACTACACTTTATCACAAAATTCTAAGCATCAAAAGAGATCGACCGTGCTTTCTGTTCAACTACCCTCCACATCCATCTGTCACTTTATTTATTTTAAACCTTCATGATCATTATGGCTATCACATTACAAATAACAAAGGAATAGTTGAACCAATCGCGCACTTTCCCCGCGCGTAGTTGGCATGCGCACGCGACTGGAGGCGCCATGATGTAACGCGCACAAATACCGGGACCTATGAGATCGATGATATACAATTGACACTCGTTTGGAATAATTATGGCCGGATTAGGGAAATGCAATAGGTGGAATCGATAGAACTTTATGTATCTGTTTTATAATTTAGCACTTACCCACATGGCATAAATTAGTAGCTTCTCTAAACCTGGTCTCAAGTATCTGTTTTTACTTAATAAAACTCATTTATTGATGCAAATAGGCATTAAAAAAGCACTTTTACACGTCCCAGTATTAACCCTACCACTGCTTCAGGACAATAAATGAGCCAGTGCCGAGAAACCTTTTAAAATAAAACCTCAATCACAAACACCCATATTCAAAAACGATGCTTGCTTAAGTAAATTAGCAAATCGAACACACAGACCCTGTGCGTCCACGCGCACTAAGCCTCAATCGAAATGCTGATATGTCAAAACTATAAATCAGTGGATAAGACTACCTTCAAGTTTTTTATGAAAACGTAACTAGCTAGCCTATGTCCTTATTAATTTCAGGCAGACCCCATCGCATCTTTAAACTAAAATCTTCAACAAACGCTTTTTTTATTAGTTAGGAAATCGATGCTAACTAGCTAGGTAGGTAACAATGACAGAATAAATAACTAGTACAAGCTTAGTTACCACAGACACTGATGACAGGCTTTAGGTAACACCAAGGTTAAACACCATGCAGCAATATTATTATTTTCTATCGACCCAACCTCTTCGTGTCTACGTTTTACTTTTCACCAAATTCAACCAGTTGACGGAAGTATTTGCAGTTAATTCACGGAAACTTTGTGCCAGTAATAAGTTTAGAAACTTTTACTACACTCAGTTCATCTGGATCCCTGATAATAATAATGTCAACCATGCTTGAGAAAAGTTTGTTTTGGTATAATGATTGCTAAAAAAAGTGGTAAAAGAGTGCAAATGTCATCTTTTTTAAATTATTATCCTTCGACATTAATTTAGACAAAGCTTGTACCTGCTATGACGTAGACTAGACAATGAATTTAAACATTAAATAATACTTTTTTTTGTAAATGCATTCATAATAATACTGTGATAATGTAGGTGTTATGCACATAAAACATTTAGGACAATACCAATGTTAATGCACACGTTTTTTGTATTATACTGGAATTGAACCCGCCACTACTGGCCTAGTAGGTAGTTGGATATGACTGAACCACAACGCCATTCATCAATAAATAAATAAATTCAAAATTTTCATACTACATTGCAATAGCTTTCAGTTTGACAATGAAAGATTATCGTTATCGTGATACCCAAAGCACCCTCTACACACAAAATTCACTGACACACCTCTCAAAAACTACCAGTCATAGAATTATAACGCCTAGAAACCGAGTACTTAAGCTCAAGAAAAGTGAGGCACTTCCAACTAACTATTACATTGATTTTCAAGCACATCAAACTAGACTTTGTTTTTCTATGATTTTTCTCTCACTTTAGACGAAGTGAATGACAACTGCGACCGCTGAGAGAATGCATTCCAGACTGCTCGATTTGACCAATAAATAATCTTGACTGGAGGAGAGGGGGCGCGGAATTTTTGTATGGTCGAAAGGGGGCGCGTCTTAAATAAGTTTGGAAATCTAGGTGTTATAACACCATTTATTGTCCCGAAACAGTGGGAGGGTTAATACTGAGACGTGTAAAAGTGCTTTTTAAAAGCCTACTTGCAAAAAGAAAATGAGTAATTAAGAGTTTATTAAAAGTATCCAGTGTATAGGACCTGCGAAAGTTCGCACTTTCCAGTTAAGGCGATTACATGGCCGAACGACCTTGAGCATTAGAGCGAGACAACGCGCCTCACGCCGCGCGCCCGCGCTTCTGCCCGATACCAAAGTGCGCTCAGAATACAGATGCGAAGCGCTGCCAATTCTAACATAACTGCCTACGGGAATGTTAACTCGATTTTAATTTACGCAGATCGAAAAAAATTGCGATGAATGATTATATTTCAATTAGACATCATTATACTTTAATTAGTACCATAACTATGAAAAATAAACAGTTATTTCCTACTGTAAAGTTTGCAAAAAGGGACATACCTGAGCAGTTTGAAAGTTAGGCTGACGATATTCGTGTGTCTAAGTGAGCTTCTAACAGTTTTTAAGTGTGTGTACGAGTACCTACCTAAATGTAAATGTCTGTCTGTGCAGGTATTCAAAATATTGGTCAAATATCGGTCAACATTGAATAAAATATTTTTGATCATCGAATACAATTTAAGACTTTACTTTCTCCAAATTCTTTATAGAAAAACAAAGAAGCGGAGCGTGCCGATGTGCGACACAGCCTCCCCGTGCGAACGCTAGTGAAAGACTGAGCTCCCGCATTCGCGCGGCCCGCGTGTGGAAATTACAGGGTATTTTGAATGTATGACACGTAATACATTATTTTTGAAAAAAAATGAACAACAATTTTTTAGATAATTAAATTTTCTATCATTTGGTGAAAGAATCATTAAAATCGCTTCAGCCGTTTAGGAGGAGTAGGAAATTTCTTTGGTGAAATTAGAAGAAAGTTAAGAATTTTTTCTGTCAAAACTAATAGTTGTAACAAAAAAAACGAACAACAATTTTTTAGTTTAAGATATTATACATCTCACACATATTTTTTTTTCTTGTTTGGATCATCCATTTAGGAGGAGTAGGGATTCAAAGAGAGGTCTATTTTGCAGTTTTACCTCACCTATCGCCTTAATACCACCAGCCGGAGCCATGAAAAATGGTACACGCGTGGCGCCGACGCGCCGGCCGCCATCGATCGTCAAGGTTGGCTGGTGGTTTGGGGCTGGACTGGGATTGGTGGTGAAACTTTAACATTGATGTTTTGCAAAGAATTAAGGTGTAAAAGGATGGTGATGGGGAGATGTGCCTGTTAAAAGACTACTCCAGATAGTAATACATAAGTATTTATAACTATGTAAACTATTAAAGTCTGTAAACACTTGAAAAAGAGGCTGACAATAGTGACTGAGTTTCATGCGGTGCTTCTTCTCAGCACTCTGTCCTGATGCAATAGCAGCAGTGGTAGGATTAATACTGGGACGTGTAAAAGTGCTTTTTAAAAGCCTACATGCATAAATAAATGAGTTTTTTGAGAGTTTTTAATAGTAAACTGAAGCACAGAATAAGTACTAGTACCTACTACCTGAACCACAGATAAAATGCCGTTAGTTCTGAAGTTAGCTCTGGGACTGTCAAGCTGGTAGCTCTAATGAAGTCAAGCTAAGAATGATTGTGGGGACGAGTGGTGGGACTTGTCCCTGTCTTACAAAACCAAACCTATGACCTTTCGCGAATAGTCTTATTGATTGAAGAGTTTTTTTTTTGTGTGCTTGGGGAAGTCACAGAGGTGTGACTTAGTCATTTTCATCTGGTTTTGGTTTAAGGGTTGGCTGAAATTCAGTTTCCTGATTAGTCTTCCAGAGTATAAGGAGCGGAAAGAGATTTGTGGCACTTTCTTTTATTTTAACATTTGTAATTGGCAATTTACACAAATATCATTTTACTTTTCATTTGTGAAAAACATTTTTACAGTAAGTGCCTACCTGAACCTTTTTTGCCAATTAAAGCAATCTAAACTTTCGTGGTAAACTTAGTAATGATTTCAGCAACTAATCATTTCTATTCAGATAGTTTAACTATACAAATGAAAAGCTTGTAATATCGACCAGGATCTTCAGTGCAAAGTTGACAACTACGTAAAACCATGACAGTGCTAGGTTAGGTCGTTACCCTGCTTACTTATGTAATGCACCGCTCGAAGAGCTGGTGGAAATTATTTAACCTGAAACTGTCTTCGGCTGAGACTGGGACTTGAAACTTGTTTAATACTTTATTGCTGACAGGCTGTGCTGGACTGAGATACGAGTATTTGTTCATGAAGCTATGAAGTTATAAAAAAATATCAAAAAGTAATTAGTTTAGCAAGGGAAAGAGGAGAGCGAGATCAAACGCGAAGCTCGCGATGGAGGACTGCTGTGGGAGCCCTCTGCCCCATCTAGGGGACACAGGGGTCCTATGATAGGACCATCAAGTCAAGGGAAACAGGCAAAGTAAAGATGCACCACGAGATCCGCGATGGTTGACTTGCAAGTAGACTAAACTAACAATTAAACCGGTTCTGTAGACCGAAAAATGTTTTCAAATACGTGGGTAGGTAGTTAGTTTTCGAGATTTGACGTTATTTTAAGTAAAAATAAATTAATTCTGATCTTAGGCATCCTGCAGACTAACGAATTTTAGTTAGGTAGGTATCAATAGTTCGGTCGACTTCCAAATTGTATGAGGAATCGGCCGATAATAAATTGGTGTAATGTGTGTATTTCTATGGAAGTTCTATGTTCATCATACCAGCTCGACCAAACTAAAGGTCGGTATTCTGCGGGGTGTCTTCTTTCTTAGTAGAAGCAGTTTAACTTTCCAAATAAATGACAGTTTAACTTTCCCCCGGGACAAACTTGACCTTAATTGGTTGGGTTTTTTATGGCGGTCAAGCTTTAGATCTGGCTACACAGAAGTTGCAGCGGTGGGAACGAGAGGTGGGTATAATCCCGTTTCTTAGTAGAAGCACATGAGTAAAGAAGCATTCTTTTAATGTAGAAGATTTAGATGATGAAGAACTTTTAATCTGGTCAGGTGGGGATTCTTGGATGGCTTAAACATGGAGTGCAGGTGCGGTTTTGTTCCCCAGTCGATGAAGCACCTGATATCATGCCCTGAGTGCCCAAGCAACTGCACTCAGGAGGATTTGATGACTGCTACTGACAACGCCACTCTTGTGGCGGAGTTTTGGGCTGACACTGTGTAGGTTTGTTGTCGACACGAAAAGAAGAAGAATGTAGAAGAGTTTGGTTGTATTTACCTTCGCCGTCAGTGGCGAGGGAGCCGCTCACTAGCCGCTCGTGGTCGGTCCTCCTTGCGTCCTCTGTGCTCTCACCATGCTCTGGAAACAACGAGAAACACCGTCAATCACATGAACTATGATACCACTTACCACCATCGTTTGGCATCAAAAGAAACTATGCACTGTGACTTTTATAATAATTTAACTTGGCATTCTAAGCTTATAACATGGATTGGTCAATAGATAAAAATAATAATGACGAAATAAACTATCGGTACATAAATATTAAAAAAATAAAAACTTCGTTAACTGAGGGTAGTGCGAGAATCAACATTGTAGGTAGGTACTAACATTTGCTATGATTCAAGCCAGCAACCGTAGCATTCAGCACGAAGTTGGTTAAAAATACAAAGCTTAAAGGCTGTCAAATCCTTAAGTTACTCAATTTATAAACTTCTTAGAAAAAAGTTAATATTTTAAATGGCCATTTGTTTTGCAAAGTATTAAGCTATTTGTATGAACAAGATTCCTAATCCAAACATAAAGAGACGATTCAATTGTTTTAGCGTATTAAATAATACTATTTTAAATGAGTCTGCCCCATACAGAGGTAATCAATAGATAAAAACTGGCCAGTGCGAGCCGAAGGACCAGTATGTCAAGTTTCGCTATGACATCACACTGACACCTGCGCACACGCGCCCTCTGCGGCGGACGATTGTTGGACGTAGTGCACACGGTTGGGTTCGTCATAAGGCCCAAATTTTGAGACTATGCTCAATTAATAAATCTTGATTTATTGCCTCAAATCATAGACATTTTGAGTGTTTTTAATCAGGGTTCGAGGATATATATCAAGGGATATATATCTTGATATATATCGGATATATATCCGATATATATCCAGCCGGTTTTGATGATATATATCAATTTTTAAAATTTGTAACTGTATTTGTACTTTTTGACATAAGATTTTTGTTTTTTAGTTGATTTTGCCGTATTTACAAGAAGATTTTATGTTTTTGCTTTATTTGTCTGATTTTAAGTTTTAAAAACATTAAAAACATCATTATGTAACACATATGCAATGGTATTCATAAATAATACAATAAAATAATAGTATAGCTTTCATACAAATTTGATATATATCAAAGTTGATATATATCGGATATATATCATAAATATCGGATATTTTGATATTTATAATAAATATCGGATATTTTCGAACCCTGTTTTTAATGTCGTTTGATCGTTTCATCGCGTCCAGTCCATCCATACCTTTGCAGTAGATTTTTTTGACAAAATCTACTTTTCGATTGTAGTATGAATCACTTTAACCCTTATACTCTTCATAGTATCAATAGGAAAGTTAAGAATAGAAGTTAAAATGCAGAATTGACATTATAGATAGAGTATCCAAATGTAACAAAACACACTTGTTTTTGTGTTAGACATTACGTTACTATAGTACACTCTGCGACTCGTCACAGATGTACACTAGGCCTAACACCCAGGAGTTAATTATGGCATAGTCTAATCAACGTATGAATGAATTGATGAATGTGAGTCGGAGGTTCCGAATAAATAAAGGATAATCTTATTATGATCCATTCAAATGGATGTTGTACGGTTACATTGATATGGAGCAACGACCATAAAACCAGCTATAAGTAGGTATATTCAGGGTTTTAGTTAATACAGGCATAATTTCATAAACACCATCCCCATGACCACCAGACAGATCCAAAATGCCATGAACTCATATTTGCATTTTGTAAATTAGGTACACATGCATAAATGCCTAATAAAATTATAGCCTTCTATGACTTTATTTTGTCACATGCATATTAATAAGTAGGTAGGTAATTAAAACAATACAAACACGCTTAAAAAAACGATTTCGGTTGGAGCCGGCCTTCGAAAGCAAATTCTAAGAAATTTAAAAATTCTAATTCAAATCCTGGTCAATGAAAAACACTATAAAATAACTTTAAAATTTACAACCATTAGTAGCCCCATGCATACATACACATTCTATGTAGTGGTGGCCGTATATAGTATCACATGTTTTACATAGTGATCAAACCAAGGTCAGCATACACAGACAGATTTCTATTTATATGTGTGAACCGCCAGAATTTAGACCACACGGGTCGAAAAGTGTTCGCGATAAAAAATAAGTCGAAATAACAATGACGTCACGCTCGATAGAGCGAGATAAAACAATTAAAACGGAATATGTGCTCAATTAGATCACATTAGGTCTTTCTTGCGTTGCTAAACTGTTCTCGGTATTGTTGAGCAGTGACGCCTTAGTTATTTTAAACTTTCATTAATACACTGACCGAATGCTTTTGTGTCACGTCCAAAATCCCATCGTTTGGGGTGAGGAAAAAGTTTCCGAAGACACTACAAGAGAAGCAAGTCTATTGGGCAACCCTGTAGTTTTTCAAGTCATACCTCCATCTATCTGTATCCATAAAAATCTACAGGGTTAATCCCTAACGCTAACCCCTTATTTTAGGATACTCCCTTACCTCTCATTCATGAATGACAAGAGACACATACACCTGAAAATACACACACAAACGGAGTAACACCTCTAAGTGGACGTGTTACCAATCAAGTGATTGTAGACAATAAATGTGGTTACACACTAGGTTCAAAGGTACATAGTCCATCAGTTATTGTTAGTAATGACCAGCAGTTACTGTCAACTATACACAAACAATAGGAACGAGTTGGCAAAAACTCAAAATTTTCTTACTTCTTGGTTAAAAGCCAGTCCGATTTCTTTAGGACAATTCACGGTTTACCCCTTTATGATAATATAAGAAAAATCTTCAAAGCATTTTTAGCGCGAAACTCCAAACGCTTTTTATTAAAAAAAAATCCAAGAGCCTACAGGGCTACCCCGAAACACTTTTTACGTAGTTTCGGGTCTATCTGTCACCATCGCTCATGCTGGCATCTCGGTTTGTATGAGAGGAATGACAACATTCGAAACTTTGAATAACTTTTTCAAAGTAACCCCTCTGTACAAACGAGCGTGTAATACCGCCAAGAGGCACGGTAGCCCGAGTTTTATCTTTATCCTTTAATCTATGATAATGCTAAAAAACACTGCCGAGGACTGCCTTTAGTCACACATTATACGTAATAAGTACAATCAGATTAGTATTGTTTAATCAATTCGTCCTTATAATGATCTCCTCTTGTTGATACCCAGATCAGCTTCAGCATTGATAAGACAGCAGAATGTACCCGCGAACAAAACAAAAAATAAGAACCTACCCACCTTAAACAACCGCAAATAATCAAATATTTTGTGCATATACTTTCAATACACTCTTTCCTTATGTATTTAACATGTAGTGTTATGAAACAAACAGGTGGAAAAGAAAGGCTAATCGAAGAAAGAGACTGTCAACACGGTCAGGAACAACTTGGTGTTAAAAAACAAAACAAAAACAAAACTTTGTTTGAAAACATGCAAAATGTTATCTAAGATTCAGTTGTTGTGAAACCGATGCGGTCCACGTGTAGGATGGTTTACACAAATGCACCGTTCGGTGCAAAAACAATATTGTTATTCGTTTATAATAACATTCTCCGTATTATTAAAAGGTTCTGAGGGAAATGCTGTTTGTTATGCAGATAATTCATCAGATCTCACACATTCCTGATTGATGGAAAATCGACGATGTTTACAAACAAACCAAAACTGTGTAAGTAGTATTTTCGTCGATTGATCATAAAATAATTTACACATAATTATTTCTTGAGCTGCATGTGAATGAATTTATTGGATTTAGAATAAAAACTTTAAAACCACGAATAGTAAGACTAGGCGCAGACCTTCGATTTTTAGTTAGCCGATAGTTGTGCCCGATTTTAAATTGTATGAAGAATCGGCCAAATCAAATCGGAATAATGTGAGCACTTCCATACATGCCCATACCAATACTGATCAACTGCCCGACTAAACTATCGGCCGTCGAAAAATCGATGGTCTGCGCCTAGGCTAAGATATTCAAAATTACTGAATAAAATTATTTCAATCGGAATAGACTAAAAAACAAAAGAATAAAGCAATTCCAAAAGAGATGACAATCAAAACAAGAGTTAAATTCGCCGAATAGGGCATAGCTAACCGGGCCGGGCCATGAGAGCGGTTGGAGGCCCGTCAGGCCTGACTCACCGGTGGAACAATAAAACTGTCTCACGGCACACTATAAATCACGCGGTGACGGGGCGGAGGCACATCAAATGCGGACCTCTTTTGATTGACCAGGCTAGACGATTTCTAGAAAAGTGGAAGAAGCTAAACAAGATTGTAAAAGACTAGAGCCGAAATGGACGAATCTAAACTAGAAGGAGACTGATGTGTGCCGAAATTATACTAAGAACAGCAAAAAGGTGCGATGAAAATTATTGAAACTATTTTGGTTTCACGATTAATAAAAAAAAATGTGTGTTCCAAGGATTAAGGGATGCCTTATGCCTATGGACGTTAAGGCAAAACAATAATTCACCGAACAATGCCTTCGCTTTTAATAGTCCAGTCAATAAAGCATATAATATATATACCTAAATAACCGTTTGAGGTATATTTATGAAATTTTAAGCTGATGTTTATCTTGCAAGTCTCAATACATGAGCCAAATTTGAAGAGTTAATGCACAGTAGTTTTTGAATGATGAGGAGTCAAAAGTGGCTCCAATTGGTTCGTCTAAATATACGCACGGTGCAGTCCCCTCCCTGGAACTAGGCTTAACATGCTCCTGCATGTCTACAGTGTTTGCTCAATGTTGATTTAGTCGATTTTCTCCTGATAGGAACATGTAAGACAAAAATTAAATTTCCAATTTTACAGACCTTCTAGAGCAGATGCCGCAAAAACTATACAAGATATAGAAAAACTTCACAGTCTCGCCTGTAGAAAATTGAATAAGCTTTTTTTGGTTCATAGTAGTCATGTTACTAGGACGCATAGTTTCCGAGGATTAAGCGAAAAACCGAAAAGTGGTACCTTTAAACCCCCCTCTCCCTGCCGGCTCAAGGGCTAAGGGCGGGGACTTTTGCTATGTTCACCACCTAACTAGGCTAAATAAAGTCCCGAGGTCAGAAATTGTGTTCCACGGATTTCTCTCTACACCGTCGTTAAGGCATTCATTGACTGGACTATAAGCTTCGAAAAAAGAACATGATAGCTCGCTCAGGTATAGTGTACAGCCAGCCTAAAGTGCTTTTAGGATCTTGTCTCATAATGATAAAAAGCCCATCAGATGCATTACCGTCTCCAAAAGTATGCTATCGGACTCACTCAGGCTAAAACGTGGAGATTACAAAATCGGAGGCAGGCGCCGCAGCGACGCCTCCGCCAATAAAAATATTAAAATTAAAAACAAACCCACTCGCGACTAAACGGTGACGCGTTTTATTAGCACAACGAATTTTGACGAATTATTATAACGTTGATGGCGAATCAAGAACAGCGAATGAATTGTCGCTTCGACTTATCATAAAATTCATGAGTATGATGTGGATAATACATTTTATTTCAGCTGCATAGTTTAGTGTTCAATTAAACTCAACTAAATGATTGACATTCGTTTTGCACCTACCAACTGAAGTTAATTCTTAGTAAGTATTTTCTAGTTAAGTTGACATTTCATGTTCTATTACAGCAGAACATTAAATTGTTAGGTCTTTATCACAATCATCATTATGTCGCAGGTGGCAGACGACTTTGTCATATCCATCAAATGCCCATCTGCTCCTTACCCTTTCTATAAATAAGTTCCAGCCAGCTATCAACTTAGGCAATTCGATCATAGACTTTTGAAGTCATTCAGAAGCAATTTAAAACTTGGCGAAGTAGAATTCCAGGTACGAGTTAATTTGCCTAAGAAATTTGTTTATGCATGAAGAGAACAAGTCGGGCCGCAGGTTCGGTACCTAATGAGTTCCGTGGTTCCACCAAGACAAACACAGTAGGGATGTGCGCATGATTCGGTGCTCGATAAGGTCAGACAGACATTGCGACCAGTCAGACAAGTTGCTAAACGCATATTGGGCTATTGAGACATGCATATTACATTTATTATAAGCGAGAGATCGGCAAAATAAAAAAGAACATCGTCATTCCATTGTTTTTGGTTTATTTTACGTTCAAATGAAATAAAAAGCATGCTGTTTTCTAGAAAGATGATTATATTTTCTATTATCTCAAGAAAAGTCATCTAATCTAAATTCTGCACAAGTTCAAGAATTTCAGGGTTTTTTTTTAGTTATTGTTACATTAATCATTATAACATTGATAGTAGTATCTTATCAATATTAGATCCCCAAACATAGTCATCATTAGCATTTGGCACGATAATGTCACGAATTCGCGATGTTTTGGATACGGCTCAAATCATGCACACAAACGCAGAAATCGCACATCACTACCGTAGCTATAATTGTGTCAGCGAGCGGCGCCGGCGCCGCGATAACGTGACGATAGTGCTAATGGAAAACGCCCTTATCGCGCGATACGACCCGGGCCACTCTCGGCCCACCACGGTACCTTTAAAGTCCAATACCCCAGGTAATCTCCGGATGAATGGCCCGGGAACCGCGTGAGAAAGGTAATGGCACCGGAATGTCAATGTCACCCGTATCAAAAAAGGACCCAAATTGTAGCCATTCATTCAGTAATGGGACAGGATATTGGACCCGATTAGAATTACGGATTGGCGTGATATGGCGGCCCATTTGGATCCATTGTCGGATCCTGTTTTGGTTTGCCATTGATAAAATTAGGTACTTGGGAGCTTTTCATAAATTTTATACTAAGAATCTTGTGTCTGCCAAAAATCTGTCTTATCGAAGAATAAATAAACAACAGGATATTAATGGAAATGGGAAACACGTGTAAAACAATAAATTCCAACGTCAAACTCTTTTCACCGTTTCGTTCAATTTTATGCAAACATTTTGAATATTAACATTCTTCAAATTAGTGTCATTTAAAACAGCTATTAAAACGTCATATCATTAACTGTATCAGGACATGCTAATCAGCTGACACGCCCCTAAATGAGCTTTTAATCAACAAACAAGCTGAAGGAACCCTCCGCCAAAGCAGACGGGCGCCAGGAGGGCCCAAACCCTCGGGAAACCCTATGATGAGGACAGAGGGAATACCACAATGCCTCCCGCCGCTCCATTGATTGTGACGATGGGATTTCCTGTGACGCAGGATCATAACATTTAAAGCGTGCAATTTGCACTGTTCGAAATTCTTTTAAAGCATTTTCTTGCACGTTTCTGGCATATCCATGGGAAGAAAAATCTAGATTGGGCTAAAGTTCTATAAGGGCATGAACAAGTCGTATAATAAGATGAATTTTATTAAAGTTACGACATCATTAAGTACTGGTGTATAAAGAAAGAAATAAGACAGGCAATCTAGTAGGATAATGTTTGAATGAGCTAGAATTTGAATTTTGTAAGAAGGACAGGCAATGCCTAGTGTGGAGGTCTGTCTTTTAGTTATTGTATTGTTTGATTCTGGCAATAAATATATTTTCATTTTTCAATCTGGTTTGTAAGTCACATTCTAATGCGACTATTAGATAGATAGGAAAACAATTCATTCAAGTTACAGATGGTTTGAACCTTCACCAAATCGAACAATACAATCCCTAGCTCGTGCCGCTAATACTTTCCCATTGACAGCATCAAATACCAACTGTCGAAACTAATGGACATGTCCCTAATGCCGAAATTTCACCGCGAGGGTCTTTATTAAAAACAAATATATTCCGGCTCAGTGTGGTGCCGTGAAAAAAGCCCGGTCTGATGTTTGCCGTAACCGTAGGCATTAATAATGTAGTTTTAAGATGGCGGCGGGTCGGAATGCAGCCGGTAGGGCTGCGCGCGAGTCGCTAATGCGCCGATCGTTTATCTTCACGTTTCGCTGCCGCGGCGCGTTTGTGACGTCCGATGTATTTTTGTTTGTACATATTTTACAAACGGCTTGATGGATTTGAATGCAGTTCAGGTAACTGCATTCAAACTGGGGAACCAGTTAGCTAGTCCGTCATAATTAAGCTTCTTACAGGAGTTGGAAACACAAAACAACATTGAGAGATTTGTATTATTCGTATCTTATTCGATTTAATCGGAAATATCGATAATGTTAACTGCAAAAGTTGGGAACAACATTCTGAAATAAAATGAAGTTCATATGCTAATAGCGACATTTGTATAAAGATCATAAAACCCATGGTCCTGGTATGGGAGTGTCGCGCAAGACACGACACGACGTAAGCTTCGGAACGAGTCTGGCTTACATTTAGCAACTGCTAGGTATTTAATAGGTAAGCTATTGCGCACGCGCTGCTATCGCTTCATCTTATACTGGATTGATGTAAACAAGGCAAGTTTTTGCTTGAATGTGAGAGGCAGAAAATCTAGGAATTAATTGAAATTTTCCACCGCCTAACGAACAATCAAGTTCTTTTCAAGTTCGGCGAATTCGTAAGACAGGTAAGTACATCGTAAACAATACTCAAATCTCGATTCAAAGGCAAACTTAGAGACAAGCCTGTGATTTGTGATACGTTGAGAAGCTCAATCATAAGTTTATAATCATTTTTGGTATGGGACTTGAATATCTTTTCATTATAACCATCATTCTTATTATCATGTGAAACCGCTGGCAACTCGAGACAATCTTTTTAATAATCTTAATAATTTTCTATAAAAACGCTTGATAAACATTTAAGTTGAAACACAACGTCATATTTTAGTTTGATATATTATACCAGTCCATCAGACGGCGTGAAAGTAATATTTCACACATAAATATCACTTTATTTATCGCGCAGTTATCTTCATTAATTTTCCAGTGTTTAGGCAAGTCAATTATAAATTTGACATGGGAAACGAGAATGTTTGGCTGTTCACGCCAGAGTAACACTACTTCCAATAAATACTGATAAATCATGATAACAATTTTGAGTGATTTTCATGCTAAATATTTAAATATCATTTTAGATTACCTCTTTGGTTGTGATAAGGAGAATTAACTTTGTTCTCATTGATAAGGTGTTTATTTAAATTTTTCCACACATCAAAAACTTATGAATAATATCAATACCGCTCTTAAAATCAACGGATTCTAAACTATAAATTAAACAATCATCAGTCATTTACTGAGCTTAACATTAGCGGTGATTTATACAGAATCTTCTTACGATATAAATCTCGGATTCTTTTTTGTCAGAAAGAGAAACTTTTTATCGATACGCATCGCACGCATCCCTAGTTTCCAGGAACCGCGCGGGCGCCGGCGGCCGGATTCCACTCTTCCCGCCTTTTCGAGACCACTCCGTGCGCGTGAGCATGCGCATCTATGATCTATATTCGAATTATCTGCTCTTTTAAGGGAATTGATGACTATAGCTGCGGCTATATGGACAGTTTGTTGAATGAAGTTGATCGGATAAAATAACTTAGATTGAAATTAATGGATGGCGATATTTTTCAAGTGATCAGAAAAAAAATTTGATTCTAGGTATGTAATCCAATTGTTTATTTGATATGCAGGCATATGAAGGTCATCACCTCCTTGGCGATGCTGATAATATTTCTGATCTCTCCTTTTCTGTCTAAAAAGTATTTATGAGAGCATTATTCATAATAATCATCGATTGGGAAGCATCTAACTGATTTAATACAGCAGCGAGAAATCATAATAATTATGTGAATTGAAAACTAAACTACTAAAATCATAAAAAACCTAACTACTAAAATTGTAACACAAAACGTCATGTAGAAATATCAAATTTGAAATAAGATAAAGAAATACCGATGTTAAAGCACATGCACTAAGATAAATAAGACAGCTAAAGCAAGTAGGAAAGCAAGAACATAGATTTTTGATACTAACCTTTAGGCTTGCAGTCGTCCATTGCGAACCGACTATAAGGGGGAGGGGGAGTTTCTGAAACAAAAGAAAACAAGCAATTAATGTCAAAAAACTTCTGAAATTGATAAAATAAGACTTAATTTAGCTCTAAACTCTAAACGGGTTATACAAATTCATGAGACCTTCGCGTTCTCTTAACAACAAATACAAAACAATGTCTGATAGGATTAGAATATGACTAACAGGAGATCAAATAAAAATCTTTACATCCGTCTAGACATCAGGCGACAACACCGTCTACATCTAAAATGAACGGCAATTTTCGCCGAATTCCAAACAACCAGCCGAAATCTTGACTCAAAAATGGACACTTAAAATTCCCTCGCAACTAATCGCCGGCGTTACATAAAACAAAAACAAAAGTTTAAACAAACACAGGGGAACAGGTATAACAACCGCCGCAATTAGCCGCCGGGAATCGAACCTTGATCGGCGCGCAGGTAATAACTAACCTATATTTTGATCTCGTATAACGACAATTTTATGAGCCATCTCAGAAATTCCGACTGTCATTCGCATCAAACGTATAATTTGGGACAATCATGCACCGTTTCGGAAATCACCATCTAATTTTAACGCCGAATACCTATTAGAAACAGCAATCACAAAAGGATTCCAAAATCAAAAAGGATTCCAAAATCAAAAAATCCGTTATTTTTTATCAAAAAGATAAAATATATTTGAATTTGGAACGCAGCCTATGCCATCCGCAACCAGCACAGACACGCGCGCCGGGTGATTTTGAATTTCGAACGCCATTTAGTGTTTTCGAATTCCGAATGTGAATTGTGCAATTGTCATTTGCAATTCGGCGCCAGCGGCGGCGGGACGTGTCAAGCGTTGTTTTTTAGTATCGCACTGGTTGACAATTCGAATACAAATTATGCGTCAATTACATTTTTGAATTCAATAAGACTTTATGACATACGGTGTGCAACGTTCCCAGAAGCGCTTAACGACGTTTGCGCAAGAAATTTCAAAACAATCGATGCATGCACCTGCATATTGAGTGACAATTTTAAAGCCACAGATTTTGGGAACGTATAAATCTGTCAATTGCATTTTACGACTCTTTTATTGCTTAATCGTACACTTAAACACTTTACACTCCCAATACCAAATGGGATTTCAATACAGACTCTTGAATAAAAGATGTTGTATGGTGTTACTGCACCAAATGTTATGCCTACAGCAATCCCGAGTCACGCAAGTGTGAGCGCTCCACAACACATTGCAGCTGAAAAAAACATTGCGACGCGAAAGTAAATGACCGTAAACGCCTAGCGTAGCATCTAGCAGATATAAATAATATCAGTTGTCGACTTTAATCTCTTGATGTGCGTCTACAACCGCGGCCTCTCCATATCAAATTGAACTTTATCACGGCAGCCCAAAATGCAAATTGGCTATTCATCATCGGGAATATCTTCTTTTCTGCGACGACAAAGTCATCCATATAAACATATCTACAGTGGCGTGACTTCAATTTCTTCTAAACATATTACATCATATGAGCCCTTACTTACCGCTGGAAAAAAGACTCTGTCTTGACCGTTGTAAAGTATATTTTCGAAACAGCTTTAATTAGAAATCATTAGTTCATTCGCTTCGAAGCTTAAACTTGCAAGGAGCGCGAATCGAAATGTATCGAATGGTCTGAGTGCGAGGGTTTATATTTCAACACAAGGATGTGCAATATCGCGTTTCAATTATTGAAGGGATCTGTCAATGGATAATGAGTTCTGTATAAATTTAGATAGGGTTTGAATTGGCCGGGCGGATTGTGGAATGTCAATTGATGAGGTAGATACGTCGGTAGGCAAGTATGGAGCGCTGGAGTCTCGGCATGTGTAATTAATCTGAACATTCGATCTATAGCAATAAATACCGTACGTTGTCAGTCAGTTTGTCCTTCGGTGACTATGTAACAAGCGAACCGGTCAATCTGGCCGCTCCATAGGCTTATTAATCGCTCTATCGACGGAAACCATTGCGTACGGCGAGTTGCGCCACGCCACGGACGCGTTTACCGAACCAAATCAATTTATACGCATAATACAGTTTTAAACTATAACATAATCAATAAGATTCCTCCCAAGCCCCGTAATTCCAAACTTGTAAGGTAAATTCACAGGAATGTATAACCCAAGACAGTCACACACGGCAAATCAGGTTGTCGGCCCGCGTCCAGGAAAAATCAAATATTCATTGAGCATAATTATTATGATAATCGAAACATCGACTTGAAGAATCTCAGAATAAAGACGGAAGAGTGTGATAAAAACCTGTACTTACAAGATTTTGTAAACAAGTGCTCGAGTCACATAGCTGCGGTGCAGCCATTTTGAAATAGTCAACGTTTCTGAGATTCTGTTATTAAATCCAACGTTTATAGAGGAACTGGAGTCGAGAGGTGAAAAGATTTACGGCGTTGCCACACAGGCAACCATCGCAGATAGCTATGTGTGCCAAGCCAGCGGCGCCGGCGCAGCGCGGTAAAACAAAGTGGCAAATACACCGCTGATTCACCGGCGTGTTTAGAAAATTATTGGCGTTGCTGCAACTAGAAATTTAAGGTGCAAGCATTTGAGGAGTCAGTAAACATTAAACTTTATTGAATCCTTGCTTTCTGGACGACTATAACCGTAACGATTTTCCATTAACATTCCTCTTCAACTATGTTGACGTTCACGTGACACAAATTATAACAATGCTACAACATTCAGCGTTTTCCAAACAACTTTGACTCAACGTTTAATGCCATTTTCAAATTTGGTCTTGTAACCCTTTAGACGGGATTCAGGAAATCACGCTAATTGGTTTTCCCAACTAATTAGCAATCATAATTTACGAATCATACAAATTAAATACAGCATAGATCTGCCAGAAAACAGAAAACGTCACAAAACCTGTATCAACTAGTTGTTCCACGGCGTACGGATATTGTCTCAAGGACGAGACAGGCGCCTGCACCGGTTCCATTTTGGATCTATCTAAAACATTTTGACAAGAACATAGATTATTATTCTGTTTATATCTGCTCTCTCGCGCCATGTCTCTCAATCGTGATCATTATGCGTAATAGAACAGACACGACAGTCGATTTATTGAATGCCTTCTACATTTCACGTAATGATCAATAACTCGCGTGCACGTTTCCTCATCGCTACGCATGATATCTTCATGTTCATCCTTCCAGCTGCAGATTTAATATAATGCCCGTAATTTTTACAAAACCGCCGAGATCGGCATGCCAATCTAAACCATTAGAACGCGTGCACGTTTTTTTGGTGCTCTCAGTCAATAAATGATTCATAAATACAGCAAATACAATTTTGGATAAATCATGAACATTTTAACGAGATATCTATGGATGAAGCAGACAGTAATAATTTGTTTGGATTCCGCTGATGTTTAAAAACCGTTCTCTTGGTTTGTTGTTCCGTGATCTATGTATGATGAACGTCGGAGAAATAATATCCGAAATCTGGGGGCACGGCAGTGCCCCCGCCAAGTCGAGCGCGAAGCAAACACTGCCGTACCATCCTTTACTGGAACCATTTCGCCGCATTTTCAGGCCTCTATTTGAGAACCTCTGGATAAGACCAGAACGCTGAAATTTTCGTCATCTAGTAAGCTATAATCACATACTTAAAATCCAAAATTTCAAGTCTGTAGGTCATTTAGTTCCGAAGTTATGCGGAAGCAAAGTTTCGCATTTACGACACTCACTCACTCACTGATGATCATCAAAATAGAACTAGTACTTCCCATCAACTCAGAGAGCTGAAATTTGGTACAGAGTTAGGGTTTAATGGCCACGTAAAGGGAAAACTATAAAAACTAGGAANATTAAATATACTAAAAGTGACTAGTCTGGAGTAAGCGAATTCATGTCCTCAACTCCTAACACAGCATTATGTGTCTCTCGTAGTAAAAGTGCTATGTAAGCGCAGTAGGATAGTTCCATTACGTCTTTAACATGGTGTTTGTAAGTGCACTATTACAATCAAGATCTGTTTGCTATTACAGATCTAAAATTCAAAAAACGTTATACACACGGAACGGCGGTGGAGCGCGGCCGCGTGTGAATCTCCCGAAATAGCCCGCCCGAATTATAACGCGAGTGGCGCCAGCGGCGGCGCCGGCGCAGCGCTCCGACGCCACGCGAGCGCGAATGCTCGCCTGAACGTGTAAGGCCTAGCACAACATTAGGTGATTGATTACTTTCAGAGAAAACATTCCGTCGTTTTGGGAAATCTGGTATTCAGGACAATGATTTATTTGCATACAAGGCACTATCTACTTCTTTGAATCATCTAGGGATATTTGGCCAATACCATGAAGAAGCTTGTGGCGAATATAAGGATAGGCTGAAGACGAGGACATGAGTCATACTTGACAGAATATCAAAACGGAGGAATAGTAACGACAGGTCCTATCATTGCGCTATCTTTCTTCCTCAGTAATCTACAATACAACAATATCAAATGGGTACAATATTATTCACAATGCACAATGTCACGGGAACTGAAATTGATCGAACCTAACTAAATGCTAAATCACATCTTTCATCCGAAGCATCTAACTGCAACATTTTCGATTGTCACGATAATTTGTAAACGAATAAAGTGCAAACGAGACCTACATAACTCCGGTCTGTTGGTTCTGGTGATTCAGACTCCAAATATCTGGTTACAAAGTGAATTCCTCGTACATCTAAATAGCCGGGTACAAGAATAGAAAGTAGTGTTATTGTTACAAATACATTTACTTGTGTATTAGATATTTCTCAAATCACCTCGCAAGGTTAGAAAACACTTATCAGAATTCGTCAATACGACTAGATTTCAATTTACACCTAGCAAGTTGTACATTGGACTCTAGTCATACCTACTTTCTCAGAGTTTTGTTTTATCTATTCTATCTGATAATTTATGTTTTCAGAGCCATGTAAAATTAGCTAGTAAATTGTTTAAATCTGCTCGAATAGTCTCTCATTTATTCAGTACCTA